GCTCTGATACTGCCAGCTGCTTTCAGATGTTAGAGAAGATGCCATATCCCCAAAGCCAGGTGGGGCGCTAGCCACTGACTCGGAGGAGCTCAGATGAGTTCCTTGAAATGAATTGAGAAGCATCAGGTTGTTCCTCCTAGGAACCTTGTGCTGACTAAATCTTCATTTTCTAGATTCCTTTTACTTGTCTCCTTTCAAAAAGCATACAAGATCTGAATTTCTAAAAAAATTAATTAAATTGGAGCAAAATAGAGATTAGTACTGCTCCCCCACAGAGACAGTGTTTCATTGTTCTCGCTTGGTTTTTAATAGAGTACAGTGAGTCCATTCCAAAAGGAGTCACAATGGCATCTTGTTGGTTATTTCCAGGGATTAAATAATAATCCTTATCCTTCATAAAATAAGATGCGCCATTATCATTATAACAGAGAGCCTGTAAAACGCACCGTCCCAGTTCCTCAGCACTAGCTTGAATAGGGTTTTTCAGTGCTTTGGAGAGTTATATTCGGGTAGGCTATGAAATTTACTAGCTAATGTTTATCCAGCATTAATCCTGTGCCAAGTTCTATGCTGAGCACTTTGCATACATTATCTAATTTAATCCTCATTACAACTCTTCAGGGTAGGTAGTATTATCATCTTCAATTTCCATATAAGGAACCTGGGTCAGCCAGAGGTTAAGTGACTTTCTCTGCTAGTCAGCTGCAGACAGGATTTGGAGAGAGAAGCACTATCTCAGTGTAATAAAGAAAAGATCAAAATCCCTCTTGTGTAACCAGGGGGTGGCTCCCAGGTGGTCCTTGATTCTATGGAGTATTAATCCTGTGGTTAGAATTACACTGGGAGCATCTAACAGAAAAAAAATAAGAAGGAAGCGTGGCTAATATTATATGATGGTCCTGTGAATTTCCATGCCAGGCACCCCGGGTTAACAAGGGTGAGACAGACAAGGTCCTGCTCCATCTCGGGCTCACAGTCTGGTGGGGCAGATTATGGTTTGGTCTATAGGCCAGGCATTGTCTGGTCCTATTTAATTCATAATCACAACTTTAATGGACACTTCATAGTTTTAACATAATGTATTATTTTTTTCCTCATTTTTAAACATTTAAAGCATTCTGTCACAGTTGGGTGGTTAGATTTTTTTTTTTTCCAGTTTGGGGCTAATATGGATAGACAATATTCCTGCATACTTTTTGGTGTCTACTAAAATATTTTCTTAGAATAAATTTCTGTAGTGCAGTTACTAGATCAAAGGGTATGAATACCTTTATGATTCTTCCAATATATTTTCACTTTGCTTGTTAGAAGGGTTTGTTATTTACTCAACAAATACTTAAGCTGGGGGCCGTGGTGCATACCTGTGGTCTCAATGACTCAGGAGGCTGAGGTGGGGTGGGGAAGAGGGGAATCTCTTGAGCTCAGGAGTTCAAGCCTAGCCTGGGCAATATGGTAAGACCTTGTCTCTAAAAAAAACAAAATTAATAAAAAAACCCACAAATAATTACTGAGCATCTACTGTATAATCAGGGCTTATACTGAGCACTGAGGATACACTATGAACGGTCCCAGTCCTCAAGAAGCATACCAATTTATGTCGTTAGAAATGTATACTTTTGGTTTTGGTGCAAGATCACCAGCACTGAAATTAAAAAAAATGTTTTTTTACTCGTACCTAATTTTTTTAAAAAACTTGCACTTAATGGTTGGGTGTTTGCATTCTATTTTTATATGAATTATTATTATTATTATTATTATTTTTTGAGACAGTCTTGCTCTGTTGCCTGGGCTAGAGTGCCGTGGCGTCAGTCTAGCTCACAGCAACCTCAAACTCCTGGGCTCAAGTGATCCTCCTGCCTCAGCCTCCCGAGTAGCTGGGACTACAGGCATGTGCCACCATGCCCGGCTAATTTTTTCTATATAAATATTTTTAGGTGTCCAGATCATTTCTTTCTATTTTTTAGTGGAGACGGGGTCTCGCTCTTGCTCAGGCTGGTCTTGAACTCCTGACCTCGAGGGATCCACCCGCCTCGGCCTCCCAGAGTGCTAGGATTACAGGCGTGAGCCACCGCGCCTGGCCTATATGAATTATTTTTGCATGCATGTGAATTCTTTTTTGTGTGAAATACCTTTGCCTATTTTTATAGTTTATTTTCTCATCTGTTTATTTTCCTTATAAAATTGTAAAAGGTCTTCATATCTCTGTCATATTTAATGTATTTTTCTAGTTATCTTACATTTTATTTTATTATTAATATTTTGAATTACACATAAGTTTAAAATTTTTATGTATTTGAGTTTGTTAGTCTTTCCTTGGCCATATCTTGCTTTGCTTCTAAACTGAATGATTATTTTCCCATAGATCTGATAAATATTAAATTTTATTTTCTGATAGTTTCCCTATAACTTAATTTTAATTAAATTTTTGAATGATTTTTAGAGTATGTTTTAGAATTACTTTAGCATGCATTTAATTCGTCTATATAGTTAGACCCACTTCTAGTCTATCTCACTGAATACATTTCCATTATCTGTGCTTTTTGTCTGTTTAAAAAATATTGTTGCTTTATAATATCTATTTGGCTAGAGTCTTTATTGATCTGGTTATTTTTCAGAATGCATGTTTGTTCATTTTTTTCAGGTTTCAAAATATTGGAACATTTATTGAAACCGAGTCAGATCTTAGGGCAACAACTTTGGAGTTGTAGTTATGCCACTGCTAGTTGTCCGACCTTTCCCAAGTTTATTAACTCTAAACCTCAGTTCCTCATCTGTAAACTGGGGATAATCTAATATTAATACTTACAAGATTTTCAGAATTAAATTTGTAAAAATTCGTGTAAGGCATGTAGCACATTCCTACCTCCATGCCTTGCACAGGAAATACTATAATATAAAAGTATTGATTATTATGATTAACTTGGGGGCAAACAGCCGTTTTACAAGGTGAAGTCTTCGCTGTAAGGCGGATAGACTATGCTTCTTTTATATTACAGAGCAACAAGGGAGTGTCACTGTCGCGCTTCTCCTGTGACACTCATTTCAGCCGGTGGCGCTGGGGTCCCAGGCCGCCACTCCTCCCTCAGGTAGGCTTTACAGGTGCCCAAGCTCCGCGCATCCGCTGAGCCCGAGGGAGGGGGGCGGGAGCGTTGCCTGGGAGATGAGGATGGGGCGGGTCTAGCCTTTAGACTCCCCAACCAGAACCCGCCGCCGGCGCTTCCGGGGGGCGGGAGGAAGGGAAGGCGCGGCGCCCGACGCGACGTCCAGCAGCCAATCAGAGGCCGGGGTGCCCTTTCAAATTGCGGCCGTCGCGGGAGCCGGCGCAGGAGGTGGTGAGTGGCGTCGGGACGGTTTTTAGGGGGTCCCCGAGGTGGGGTGCCCCGCGGAGTGGCGAAGTATCGGTGCTGGGGAGGGTGTGCAGGCGCTTCTCCTACGGGCGGCCGCTGCGGTGCGGGCGGGCGGTCGTAGTTCCGGTCGCCCCTTCAATTCCCCAGAATTCTGGGTGGGCGGCGAAGGGAGTCCCCGAAGGAAGGGCGTGGGGTGGCGCCGCTGCGGGGACCGGGAAGCCGGACTTGAGGACCGCTCGGCCCACAGCCTTCACCCGTCGTGCCTCGCCGGGTCGGTTGGCTTTAAAGAGGTACATTCTCTGTCCCAGCCCCTCGCAGTGACTCGTTGGGGAAGAACAGAATCCCCGGATGTTTTGGTTTAGGTTGTAACTCATTTTCCTTGATTCCCTCCAGCCCTCTTTAACATTTGATGGCGAAATTACCTAAACAGACAAAACCTGTATTGATTTGTGTAAGTAGCAAATAGTTTTCAGTTGCAGCGGAATTTCCAGAATCTTTTCTTGCCTTGAAATTCATTTCGTAACAGAAAGACTCTATACGGTTAGTTGAAAGGTTGACTGCAGATACTTACAACCTGACAGGGTTTATTTTTTTATTTTTCGGTAATGATTTCTTATTTATGTAAAAATAGAAAAGACTCACCTAAAGATTAACTTTTATTAATTTGTTCCGCGATAGCAGTAATCTCTGCAGTAGTTTGAGCCAGGGTCATTTGACAAGTTAGAACCAAGCATGCACATTGGAAGACTTGTTTACTTCCATGTAAGGAGTTTGATGCAGACTTGACTAGAAGCCAGGTCTCCTGCCTGTCACTGCTGTTCCCATTCTTTTAAACGTTAATGCCTGTTAGATATTGTTGACATACATTTGCATACTACACCCCTGTATGATTTTTTGTCTGACTGCTAAAGGGTAGGCTGTCTACTTCTGTAATCTTGCACAGTTTTTCTCAACGCAAGCAATTAAATTACAAGGTTTATCATACTTAATTGTATGTAGTACTTATTTGGGAGTAATCTGCCTTGTGACACCAATCAATTTAATCTCCTCTGTAGGCATTCCTGTATTCAACATATATTTAAGAGCTATTTATATAAATACTTGCTCCATACTCTGATTTAGGTACTAGGGTTTCCTTTAATGCACCCCACTTCCCAAACTGAGGGTACTTAAAAAAAAAATCTGTGCTGACATGCACTTTTCACATCTCTTAGGTCACTTGGCACATGTGGCTTGATGTATGGGTTATCTGTGTATTTCTTCTAGACTAGACTAAGGAAGTGAGAAAAGAGGTCTTGTCTTTGAAGTGGATAGTATCTATCAGAGGGCCTGGCACGTATGGAGACTAAATGTCTGTCAAATAAAGATTGTAAGCTCTTTGAGGGAAGAGACTTGTCTGAAGTTGCTTGGAAGCGATATCTGAGCTGGACATTGTGATTTATTCTAATGCATGCTTCCGAGAATTATACAATGGGATGTTCTCTGTATTATTAAAGCTTGTTTGTAGTCTGTGCAATCTAAATCCGTCTTTATTGTTTTTGCAGTTTAGTGGATATTTTTAGAAACTGATACGTAAGAAATGGCTGGAAATCAAATGAATGTCCAAAGAGGAGATTAGAATCTTCAGCAACATTCTTTTAAAAATAACTGTCTGCCAAAATGTCAGTACACACTGCTCCTAATAGATATAACAGCAATATCCTTGGTATTACTTCTACCCCAAAGAGTTCTTCACTAAGTGCCCTCACCCACAGTAGCAGACTTAAGTTGCGTTTGAAGTCGGATATGTCAGAATGTGAAAATGATGATCCATTATTGAGATCTGCAAGTAAAACCAGAGACATAAATAGCACTTATGTTATTTCTGCCAGTAAAAAAACGGAAGACGTATCCCTTACCCCTAACCCTGTAGGTAAATTGGTACTTCAGAGAAGAACTACAAGGAACAAAGAACCATCTTTGCTTGGTAGTGAGTTGGGAGACACAACTGAAAAAACAGCAGAAAAATGTCTTACACTACAACGTCGTGCTAAAACAGAGTCTTCGGAAAAGTGGAAAACAGCTAAAACAGATTACATGGAGAAGTGGAAAACAATGCAGGATGTGGGAGGCGAAAGAGAAAATAATTGTGCTTCAAAGGAAACTACTACAAATGTAAATACTGTAAATAATGTTAAAAACTCTTTTGTTGCATCTCCTGTACCTTTAGCTAAAGATCCAAAAGACACTGAAATGGTGGCTGATGAGAAATACAAAGAAACATTTTCTGCAACCAGTGGGGCAAATGAAAATGTTACACTTAAGTACTCAAGTAACAGAGTACCCGCTGGTTCCCAGAGTCAAACTGAAGTTGTTAAATCAGGACACTTGGCAGCGAAACCTATTCAGAGCAAGTTGGATGTGAAAGTGTTAGGAATAGGAAACTTACATCAAAGAAATATTGGGAAGGACATTGCAAAAAATTCAAATAAATTTGGAAGCTTAGAGAAAACACCTACGAAATGTATAACAGAACACAAATTGACACCAAAGTGTGGCATGCCTCAGCTTAAGAGCCCAGCCGCCTCAGGACTGAAGAACAGGGTGCCTAACCTTCAAGTTAAACAAAGGCCAAAAAGTTCTCTTCTTGTGAATAAAAGGGAAAGTTCACAAGAGAATACGCTCCCTGCTGTGGAACAAACTGCAGTTCAGAACACCTGTAAAGAAACAGACCCCTTAAAAATAGAGAACAGTCGAGTGACAGTGGCAGTACGGGTAAGGCCTTTCACCAAGAGGTATGTCACACCTTTTAAAATCTAAAGCCAAGCCAGTGACATGTAATGTGTCTTTAATTCCTCTGCCTTTGGAAAGTCAGCATACTTAATGTATCTTCAAACTTGTTGACGATATTTTTATGTAGAAAGAACTTTTGGGTTTAGTTGTAGTATGTTGATAAATTTTGATGGCTGACTGTACAATAAAAAACCCCAAATCACCACATTTTACATATGCAAGTTTCTCTAGGTATACTGCTTTTAAAAAGCCTGAATATTTCCTTGTTTTTGGAATTATTCAAAAAAAAGAAAGGAAAAAAAGCCTGAATAAGTCATTTGAGTCTCTAATACAATCTGCTTTCAGAGCCGCAATATATGCTGGGATCATCTACCTTTCCCTTACAAAGAGCCATGACAGGTTACTTGTTTCCCAAAGAGTTCCTTTCAGAACCCTTTTTAGAGCGGTGATCATCGTCATCATCTGATTAAAATATAGTTGTTACAAATGCAGTGATTTATTTGATGGCAAAAAATTTCTCTCCAAAAGTGATTGTGGGTGGGACAGAGACACAGATTAGGGATAGGGTTGAAGAAATGAAATGTGAAATCTAATTATTTTTAAATATTTTAAGGGAGTTCAGTGAAAAACTTGACAGGGTCAGTAGTGTTTAATGCTGTGTGTCCAAGTTGGAAGAGGATAGGATGATCACTGCATTGGGGAAGGAACTTCCAGTTTGCAAGTTTAAGACCTTTCTAGTGAAAATGGGTTAGTAATAAGGGGAGAGACCTGAGAGTGGGTTAATTTGAGGAGTTGGGAAGTCTGATAGAAGAGCCTCAAACACATGATAGGAAGAAAGGCAACAGAAGGAGCCGAGCTGGTAGGGACAAAACCCAAGATGGATGAGTACATTGAAAAGAACTTAGGAAGGGACCAAGTGCCTAATTCCAGACTCATCAGACAAGCCTTGCAAGCAGGACTGGTGTGGACTGGCACTTGTCAAATTGATGAGGCAGATGGTTTCCAGGATAAATTCTGATCTACAGCGGCGTTCAGAGGAGGGGGTGGAGGGGAAAGTGGGTGGATATCTGGGGCCAGACAAGGAGTGACATTATTTTACTACAGATCTAGAGTAAGTGAAAGATTACCTAAGACCACCTAAGTCTGAGAAGGAAGAAGGATAGACATGAAGATTCATGGTTTTAAAAGAGAGAATGTAGAGGAAGAAGGAACCGTTGGAATAACAGTGACAACAACTAGTAGCCAGGAGACTTACGATTCAAACTTACATTCATATGAATTTGTTGAAATTATATTTATATTTTACGCCAGCTTTGTATAGATTGGTGCCCCAAAATTTGTATAATAAAGATGTTTCTAGATTTCAACTGAAGAGTTCAGATAGAGTAGGTGGGATGGGAAAAAGGTATAGTTTAAGAGAAAAAGGTAAAAAGGAAAAATCTTGTATAAGTAGGGTAGGTATTCTGGAAAAGAAAACTGGAATTCCATTTTCCTTTTGAATGGTGGCACTGGAGTCACAGGAAATATATTTTAGAAACCCACTAGAATTATGTTTGCTGGTCTGCATTTTCCACATAAAACTAAACAATTATCTTGCTTTGGAAGAATGTTATATTTAACTGGTTCTCAGTTCCTTATTATATTCTGTGGGAATAATACCTACAATAATTGTAATAACTTGATTTTTTCTTGTGCTTCTTTCTTTCTTATTAATTTAAACTTAAAGTTATTACCTTTGTGCTTCTTTAAAGAGAGAAGATTGAAAAAGCATCCCAGGTGGTCTTCATGAATGAGGAAGAAATAACTGTGGAACATCCTGACATGAAACAAGTTTATAATTTTATTTATGATGTTTCGTTCTGGTCTTTTGATGAGTGTCATCCTCACTACGCTAGCCAGACAACTGTCTATGAGACGCTAGCAGCACCACTCCTAGAAAGAGCCTTTGAAGGCTATAATACCTGTCTTTTTGCCTACGGTCAGACTGGCTCTGGAAAATCATATACGTAAGTTGTATTGCAAATGCAGTTATCCAGAAATGTTTACATCTTCTTTTGTGTGAAGCAACATGATGTGATAGAAAGAATGTAGTTTTGAAACCACAGAGATCTGGGCTCAAATCTCATCCATTTTATATACTAGTTCGCAAACCTGGGCAAGTACTTAGCCTCAGGGCTTCAGTTTACTCGTGAGATACAATTTACCTCATAAGTATCAATGGCCCTATTTTACTATAATTTATATTTCTTGTGTAAACTGAAGCACAGAGAAGTTATCTTGCAATTGTTAAGATAATTAAAAGTAAGGCATTTGATAGTTAGTAGCTATGGTAATAATTCCTGTCCTAGAAGGAAATACTCAGAATTTTAATAGTAGCTAGCATTTATTGAGTTCCTTCTATATTCCAGGCCCTGTGCTAAAGGCTTAGCTTATACTGTCTCATAGCTCTCTAAATTAGATACTTTTATTATTCCCATTTTACAGAAGAGGAAATTGAGGTTTAGTAAGGTCAAGTATTTTGTCCAAGGTCACAGAGCTAATAAACAGTGGGATCAAGATTTGGACTAAGACAGATTTGGCTCCAGAGTGTGGGTTCTTTTGAGATTTAATTAACTTACTCCTGATTCCTTCCCCAGCCCATTTACCTCAAAATAATTTTTTTAAAAAACCTAATTGGTTTTACTTACCCCTTATTCATAATGTATTTTTCAGGATGATGGGATTTAGTGAAGAACCAGGAATAATTCCAAGATTTTGTGAAGATCTTTTTGCTCAAGTAGCCAAAAAACAATCCCAAGAGGTATGTTTTCATAATATCTGCAAGCTTCATATCAGACTAGAAAATAGTTAAATCAAGTTCAAATCGGAGTAATGCCACTAAGGAAATATTTAATGGAAGATATAGTTCTAATTTCTAGATTACTCTCCTCTGGAACAGTGGTGTGGAGAGAGGGAGGATGGGGATTCCAAATTCAGAATCAATTCCACCTGGTGGACAGTGATGGGGCATCATCTCTTCTGTCTTTTCTGCGTTTCTCTGCTTTCTTTCTCCTGTGTATGTTTAGTGGCTCACAGTGTGGTGGTTATGTGCCTCTGTGCCATCATACGTGTCTCTGTAGTCAGGTGCGCAGACATAACTGAGGATGGCAGGCATACACTTTTTGACAATGTGAAGCAAAAAGAGTAGTAAAGCTGGAGTTTGAACCCATATTTGACTTCAAAAGCCATGCTTTTTCCACTACACTCCACCTGAACAGGCTGTGCTGGCTTCCCTTTGCACTTACTCATTTATACATTCAGCAAACACTTACTGAGCGTCTGCTGTTGCCAGACACCATTAGACCAATTTTTCTGCCTCAAATTTGCTTTATTGTAAGACTCACCAGAGATGTGGCAGGGGTGTGTGTGCGTGTGTGCGCGTGTGCACTTGCTAAAAATCTCTTCTGGAGACTCTGAGTCAGTTGGTCTGGGGTAGAGCTTGGGGTTTTATAAGTTTTATGCTTTTCCTCTAGTAATTCTTAGGAAAAGGGAAATTGGGAAAATGTTGTGCTAGATCGAGGGCACAGAGTTAAAAGACTTGGTCCCTGTAGTCAGGAAAGTATCATGGGAGAAATGGGCCAGTAAACAGCCAAGTACAATCAATTAAATGCTAAGTAAATTAAATGATGTGATAGAACATGTGAGTGAGAACATGTAAGATTAGAGGGAGACAGAGTTTCTTGTAGAGGAGGGAGCCACTGAGCTTATTTTTGAAGGATCCATAGCAGTCATTGCCTTGGTGACACAGGGGTGAAGGACATTCCAGGCAGAGGGAACAGCACGTGCAAAAGATTTGAAAGCAAGAAAGTAGGCGCCGTTAGGAATCTATAAATTGTTTACTATTTTGAATGTGAAATTTGAGGGTGGAGGGTAGCAAGAGATGAAACTAGAGAGGCAGACAGAACTCGGTAATGAAGGACTTTGTGAACCATGCTTCCAGGAATCTAAAAGGCTATGGAAGGATTTTGAACAGGGAAGTAATATGATCATATTTATTCTTTAAAAAAAAAATAGCCCTGGCTGTGATGTGGAGAGTGGATTGAAGGGAAATAGGACTGGATGCAAAGAGACCAGCTGTGGGGCTTGTAAGCTGGATGAGACATGGCAAGGAGCTAAACGAAGGTGGTTTGACAGTAGGGGTGGCCACGGGGCAAACTTCGAGAGATCTTAGCGAGTAGAACTGGTAAGACTTGCTGACTATTGGAAATGGAGGATGAGAGAGGGAAATCGATGTTTCTGGTTGGAGGACCAGAGTAGATATTGATGGCATTCTTTGAGATCACGAGAGGAAAAGCAGAATTGAGTAGATGATGAGTTCTGTCTTCTCTGTGGATACACTGTCCCTCCTCTGTCCTCTTATTCTCCCCTCAACTTCTCACTCCCAGGAATTAAATTAAAAATAGGTGGGATCAGTAGAAACATGATTGTGCAGAGACTATAAGATGAAATGTGATTCAAGTCCAAGGTTAGTGGGAATAAGAAAGTGAGAAAGCTGTGGCTTGTGGGGCAGAGTTCTCTGTTTAAGATTTCAGAGGGAGAGTAATTGGAAGGTAATAGAAGCCAGGGAGAGATAGATCAGGTGAAGTAGAGGCAGAGGTCTTTGGAATGATTTCACAGAACTGGGAGGCTCTGATTTTGCATAGAATGACTATCACTGAGGAATATAATGTGATGATTAAGAGCATGGACTTTGGAAATAGATTAATTGAATTTGAATCTAAGCTTTTTTACTTTACTAGAAGTATGACCTTGAACAATTTACTTAATCTCTCTGTGTTTCAGCACAGAAAATAGAGTTGATGATGATGGTATCTTTCTCATAGGTTTGCTGTGAGGATTAAATGAGTTGATCTATGTAAGAGGTTTTGAATAGTACCTAGCACATAGTGAGTGCAACTAGATGATTGTAGTTATATCAGCTTTGGAATTACTCAGAATGGATGCGGAGCAGGGGGAATAGAAGGTGGTACAGCCCCTTTCTGTTTAGACATTTTATTTACAGTCATTATCCCTCATTTTTGTTCTTAATTTTCTATTGCTCTGTCTTATCTATTGGAGGGTATGATGGCAGGAGCCTCAGAGGAGAAGAAAAAGGTAGATTCTTGCCAGTGTGGCCTTAAATACCTTTCCTAACTCATTCCCCACTATACTTTCATTTCTAAGTCCTCTTGGAGCCTCCGTAATATAATACATAATACTATTTTATATAAAAATAGGCATTAATACATGTTTTTTGAATTCTGAGCCCCCATACCTATAACATAGTATTTGTGAATGATCTTACAATTACACAATGTCCCATATATCTGTTCTCTTTGTCTGGAGCTGTGTTGTTCCTCTCCAGCGACACCAACTATACTCTGCCTTTTATTGCTCATGTACTATATTGCATTTCCTATTAGATCGTAAGTTCTTTTAGGGTAAAGACTATGTCCAGTTCATCTCATATTCTCCAACAGCTCTTAGAAGACTGCTTTGTCCCTAGTGGGGCACAATAAATACTTGGCAAATTAAACCTAAATCTTTTAAACTCCCTTGAAGCTTCCAATTCTGTTAGATGCTTGCTGACTCACTTCTGGGCCAATGGATGAAATTTATTTCTCTAAATAGGAAACCATTCCCTAACTGTCAAAGAAGCTGTATGGTAGCAGAATTTCCCCCTTTTGGACTCAACACCGTATCTTTCTGAACCAAAAGGAGGAAAGGCTCAGCCTCACTTAGTGTGATGATTGCTTTCTGCTCCTATCAGGAAGAATGTTAAGGTCCCATCTTATCAGACTGAATGTCAACATACGGAGTGTCTTTTCTGTCCTGAGCACGTACCATGCATAGGCGCTGCTGTCCTTACCCTCTTTTTCTGGTCCGTCCCCTCCGTCTCTCATGCCTCACATTCTATCATTCTAGTTACTCCTTACCCAGCCTCTGGCCATCCTAGTTTTTCCTCTTTCTCATTAGTCATTTTATTGATAGTCTCATTTTATTGATATCTCTCATTTTGGTTCTTAATTTTCTTTCTTTTTTTTTTTTTGAGACAGAATCTTGCTCTGTTGCCTGGGCTGAAGTGCCATGGTGTCAGCCTAGCTCACAGCAACCTCAAACTTCTGGGCTCAAGAGATCCTCCTGCCTCAGCCTCCTGAGTAGCTGGGACTGCAGGCACATGCCACCATGTCCAGCTAATCTTTTCTATTTTTAGTAGAGATGGGGTCTCACTCTTGCTCGGGCTGGTCTTGAATTCCCGAGCTCAATCGATTCTCCCACCTCGGATTCCCAGAGTGCTAGGATTACAGGTGTGAGCCACCATGCCTAGCCCAAGGTTCTTAATTTTCTATTGCTCTGTCTTGTCTGTTGGATGGTATGTTATATTTCTCTGAGATCATAACCTCATGGGCAAGAACCTTGTCTGATACTTCTCTATATCCTTCTGAAAATAACTTAAAGCCATACACATAGGAGACAGATACTTAAGATACGCTTATTGGACTGAATTCAACCTTATCTAGAAGTTAAGAAGAAGAAATGCAAGGACTTCTCTTGCTGTTTATATTAAAATATTTTTTAATTAAGGTAAAATTCATGTAACAGAATTAACCACTGTAGAGTATGCAATTCAGTGGCATTTAGTCCGTTCATGATGTTGTGCAGCTGTCATCTCTCTCTAGTTTCCCGTAGTTTTCATCACCCCCAAGGATACCTGTACTCATTAAGTAGTCACAACCCGTTTTTCCTTCTCCCCAACTCCTGGAAGCTACTAATCTGCTTTATGTTTCTATGGATTTACCTCTTCTGGAAATTTCATGTAAGTGGAATCATGCAGTATGTGCCCTTTTGTGTCAGGCTTCTTTCACTTAGTATAATGTGTTGGGGGTTCGTCCATATCGTAGCATATATCAGTACTTCATTCCTTTAATGGCTGAATAACATTCCATTGTACGGATATAGCAATTTCGTTTATCCATTTGTCAGTTGATGGACATTTGGGTTGTTTCTACGTTTTGGCTATTGTGAATAGTGCTGCTGTGAACATTGGTACACATTTTTGTTTGAATACCTGTTCTCAATTATTTTGGATGTGTAGAGTGATTGCTGGGTCATATGGTAATTTTATGTTTAACGTTTTGAGGAACTGCCAACTATGTTCTACAGAGGCTGCACCATTGTATTAAATACATTTCCACCAGCAATGGAGTAGGTCCCAATTTCTCCATCCTCATCAACACTTGTTTTTCATTTAAAAAACATTATAGCCGTCCTCTAATGTGATTTCTCATTGGGGCTTTGATTGCATTTCCCTGCAGAGAAATGATGTTGAACATCTTTACATGTGCTTTTTGGCGATTTGTGTATCTTCTTTAGAGAAATGTCTATTCAAGTCCTTTGCCCATTTTTTAATTGGGCTATTTGTCTTGTTGAGTTGTAAGAATTCTTTATATATTTTGGATTCTAGACCCATATCAGATATATGATTTGCAAAACGTGAAGAATTTTAAAATAAATTACATGTTGTTTCTATTCCTACTAGGCCAGCTATCACCTTGAAATGAGCTTCTTTGAAGTATATAATGAAAAAATTCATGACCTTCTGGTTTGTAAAGGTGAAAATGGGCAGAGAAAGCAACCAGTAAGATTAAAACAATCTATTATTTATTTTCTGTTCTTATAAATGCATATAATTATGAGTTGTCTGGGTGATAATAGCTTAAATATTTATAAAATGCTGTTGTATGATGGCAAATGCTTAGGATCTGCAGTCTAATTACATTGTTATTTAGAAAAACTGAACATTATCATTAGTGGAAATTAGTTATTAAAATTCAACCTCCTTATTTTAATCAAGAATTGTGTAAAAGTTAAAGATAAAATATTTGTTCTAAGATTTATTATAGTTCAACCATGTAAGTCAAATACCAAATCCCTAACTGGGCGTAAGTCAAAAAGCAGTAAAAGTTTTTAAAATTGTATTTTTATTACAGAATATGTATTTCAGGGCTTGGTGCAAAAAAAAATAGAATATGTATTTCAGTGGATTATTTAGCAAAAGGATATAAATAATCTGTGAAATAAAATGTTTCAGAATTACATAGCTTTTAAAAAATTGCTATTTGAACTTAAAATTTGTAATTTTGCAAAGGACCTCGGAACACAAGAAACAAAAAAATCTAATGAAGTCTATTGCCTTCTTTACTTTTCCAAGGTTATGCAGTTTACTATTGGCAACATCAAGAAACAAACAAAATTTGACATTTTCTTCTGTGGCTTCTGTACATTTTAAAATTTCTGGTCACAGAGTTGGAAATGTATAATAATGTAACAATGAAGAAAAATGTGAATGTCTGAAATTTTAATGAATGTGTTTTACAGAGATATTTAAAAGTATGTAGATAGTATCTACTGCAAGATTTAATTTAAGAATAAAAAAGTAGGCCAGGCACAGTGGCTCATACCTACCTGAAATCCCAGCACTGTGGGAAGCCGTGGAGGGAGGACTGCTTGAGCCCAGGAGTTTGAGACCAGACCCTGTCTCTATAAAAAAAGAAAAAAAAAAAAGAAGGAGAATAAAAAAACTAGTAAGACCTTTGATGCTACAATGTTTTGTTGCATATTGTGCAACTATAAATAGTTTTTGTTATTGAAGCAGTTTCTTAATGCTTTATAGATTTATTTTTGTAAAAGTCTTTGTATTTTTTTCTGGATAAAGTAAATACAAATCTCTTTACCTTACACTCAAAATATAGGAAAAAAATGATCATTTAAAATTATATTTTATATGAAATATTTGTTATACTCCTAATGATGCAAGTATTTGCTTCTATCTAGCTGAGAGTAAGGGAACATCCTATTTCTGGACCATATGTTGAAGCACTGTCCATGTAAGTGTTTGGCTCAGCAAGAGCAAGGAAGAGAAAACAAACGAATACAGTGAATGTTGTTTTCTTATAATCCTTATTGTATTCTCATTGGCCTCCCCAACTTTGGAACCCTGGATAGCTATTTAGCCTTCTACCCTTAATAATAGCCCATTAAGTTTGCCCTCTCTTTCCATATAGTGTTCCTTGTTTTTATTTGTTCGTATCTTTCACAGTGCCTATAAGGTGTCTGCCATAGAGTATTAATTATACTGAGTATGAAATAAATAAATAAATTTGATTTTTCTCCCTTTTACCCCCTCTTTTCCTCCCATTAAATTAAATCTCCCTTCTCAACCTGCTTTTTATACCTATTACTTTAAGCTGAAGAGGGAAGAAGGTGCTAAAATGAATTAAGAGTTCGTTAAATGCCGAGAGTCATTTACTTTCTTTTTCATTCCAAATGCTTTTCTTAAAGGAAAGGGAAAATGATTAGATATGATTCAGCTCCATTTACTAAATCTAGGATTGTGTTGGGACCTATACACACCAACACATACATACACCTACGCATATACATATGTGTTAAAGTATATCTTTTGGTGTCATGATTTAGACTTGAATATTATAATGCTAAGATGCTAAGGTGCTTACTTATATTAAGAATAATCAAACTTTTTGGTAAAATTAAAGCATGATTTTATTTACTGGATTTAAGAATGGGAGAATCAGTATAATATCTCTGAATATTATTATGACCTTCTGACAGTAATTATGTAATTGAAAGGTTGTTATTGTTTTATGAGAACAAGAGTATAATCATCACTAAAATAAATTTTGTTTTTTTACTTCTTAAAAATAGGAACGTTGTCAGTTCTTACTCTGATATCCAGGTAAGACTGATTGTATTTTGTCATCTTTTCACTGTTAATAGATAGGGTATAAACCTAAATATTCATAAGAATATTTCCTTAATTGCTGTTTGCATAAATAAAAGGTTAATTGTATTAATTTATCACAAACTGATTTTTGTTTGTTAAGCTATAATCAAAAGAATTGTTCTTCTTAATTAACAATAAATATTGACCATCATATAGGCTTAGAGTTATAGAAATAGCCTTTTAAAGTTGTTATTTCCTGATTCAGATTTCTCTGATGGAAAAAAAAAATAGGCAATGGGAATATAAACTTTTAAAAGAGAAATAGTTATTAATTTTATAAGTGGATTATAAATGTGTGTATGTTACCAAATATGCTGTCTTAACTTTTTTGTACCTGAATTTTTATTCCAATGAATTACAGTCTGCTGTTTTGACCTCCCTTCCTTTTTTCTTATTAGAGTTGGCTAGAATTGGGAAATAAACAAAGAGCAACAGCTGCTACTGGTATGAATGATAAAAGCTCCCGATCTCATTCAGTTTTTACCCTGGTGATGACCCAGACCAAGGTATTTTTTTGTTGTTGATTATTTTCTTAGGCAAGATAGTACATACATTTGAGTTTCGTGTCTTTCTTATTTTCTTCTTCAAAACAAAAGGTAAATGTACAGTTATATAAACTTAGTTGGATTTTAGGAAATATACACAATGACTTTGACTGTTGGTATATATGGCAGGTATACCATTTATTAATTTTTTAAATCAGTAATAGATGATTATTAATATACCATTGATATGATCATATCAATATATGACAATATATTATCAATGATGTGTGGTAGCCAGGTGTAGTGGTATGACCCTGTAGTCCTAGCTACTTGGGAGGCTGAGGTGGGAGGATTGCTTGAATCCAGGAGTTTGAAGCTGCAGTGAGCTGTGATTGCACCACCGTACTTTAGCCTGGGCGACAGAGCAAGACCCTGTCTCTAAAAAAAGGTAATTAAAGTGATTATAGAGTATTCAGAAAAACATTAGAAAGTAAAAGATTTTTGAAAATTCAGCCATAGGTTCTGCTACTCAGATAAACCCCTCTAAACATTTTGGTATATAGTCTTTCAGTTGTTTTACAATCACACTTAGACTCACAACATCCATAACAATTTTACGTTATTAAAATTCTTTGCAAAATAATTTAATAGCTGTATAGTATTCCATTAACTGTTACATTTCCTTAAGGTTTTCTCTACTGTTGGACTTTTATTTTTATGCATTTTGCTGTTATAAAGCTGAGATAAACAATATGTTTGTACATTAAGCTTTTCCTCTATTTGTTGTTGTTTCTTTATTATAACTGAATAGTTATGAATTTTAATTTTCTTAAAGTAATTTCTTATTTTGGCATAATCTAACCACTGCTCAATGTATTCTTTTCAGTAGACTCTGAATTTTTTTGCTTTATAAATTATCACAAATGCAAGAAGGAATGGTTTTAAAAATAAATGAGTGATTTGTAATCTTGTAAACTTTCACTTTTAATGAATTATGTTGAAGGTGAGTCATAGAAGAACTTAAAGTATTTTTTTTTCTAGTTATATTTGTCATGTGTTTTATTAACCATTAGAAAAGATTTGAAAAAACAGGCTCCAGAACTTAAAGTATTTTAATATCATTTTGCTATAGACAGAATTTGTGGAAGGGGAGGAACATGATCACAGAATAACAAGTCGCATAAACCTAATAGATCTGGCAGGCAGTGAGCGCTGCTCTATGGCTGGCACCAGTGGAGACCGGCTGAAGGTAATGGCGTGCTTTTCTCCTTTTGATGACATTTATTCCTGAGGGCACTATTTTTAGGAGAATACAAACTGAATATACTTAATTAAAAAATGTATCTTTATCTTACATTTATAGACTGCATTGCTGTGGTTTAAAGAGAGATGTGTACTTTTTGGTTGTGATTAATTTTCAAAGAAAATAAAATTTGAGCCATAAGAAAGTTGGTAGTTTGTAGAGGAAAGTGTTAATAATTATACGAGGGGAGAAGTATATTTTGTGAAATGAATTTGTTGCTGAGAAGTTATTTTAAGTAAAGAAAAATTTTTTTGATCTTATATACAGGAAGGTGTGAGTATTAACAAGTCCTTGCTAACTTTGGGAAAAGTTATATCTGCACTCTCTGAACAAGCAAATCAAAAGAGGGTTTTTATTCCTTATCGTGAATCTGTTCTTACATGGTAAGTATCTTCTAAAGTGTAAAGAATTGTGTAAAATATAGTGAATACTGTGGGGAAAAGAATGATAGACTGACTTCATATAACTTTGGGATAAAGAAGTGGTTAGTGGCTGGGCCCGGTGGCCAGTAGTAGTGGCCAGTACATCGGTGCTCAGTAAGTGTTTTCATTAGTGCATATATATTTAATTTCCAATACAGTTCATTCAAATAATATCTGTATGGATTTAATATTCACTTCTGGTAAGCATTAATGTATAGTCATGATGAGGACTGCATCTCTACTTATCAGTAATGTCTTTATAATTGGTTTATTATAATGTGGTTGCCATCTTAAACCTACAAGAGAAAATTTGTTTTTTTTCATGCCCTTTGAAAGTTAAGAATGGTGAAATGTATTCTGTCCTTATAAAAGATATGTTTTAAGTCTCATATCTTTTTTCCTCTAAAATAAAGATTTTACATATAGTATAATATAGAATTTTTGTTTACATGCCGATTCATCGTTTCCAACATTTATTGAGCACCTGCTTCTAAAGATTGTGGTTGCACTGGAAATACAAAGATGACCAAGACACGTAGTCCCTTCCCTAAAGTAGCTCATGGTCTCATAAGGAGAGAGGGATCTTACAAAATATTTGATGGTTAACCCTATTTTAAAACCCCTATACAGATTATTGCTTCATGACACAATATAAAAAGTATAAGAGAAAGCCAGATGTGGTGGCCTATAATCCCAGCACTTTGGGAGGCTGAGGCAGGAGGATTGTTTGAGGCCAGGAGTTTGAGATCAGCCTGGGTAACATAGCAAGACCCCATCTGTATAAAAAATTTAAAAATAGGCCAGTTGTGGTGGCACATGCGTGTAGTCCCAGCTGCTTAGGAGAGTGAGGTGGGAGGATGGCCTGAGCCCAGGTATTCAGGGTTAGAGAGAGCTAAAGTGAGCCAGGATCCCTCTACTGCGTGCACTCCAGCCTGGGAGACAGAATGAGACCCTATCTCCAAAAAAAAGGTATAAGAGAAAATAAAGTGTTTATGAGATCTAAAAATAGCTACAAATACCAAAAAAAGGTTTAAATGGTATTTGAGTCAAGAATATCATACTGTATTATACACCCTATTGGTTTGTTTTGTTCTTTCTAAGTAATTACTGTTATTCAGTTGTTGGAGAAGCTGAGTCTAATTATGACTTTTTTTCCTTGAAGGCTGTTAAAAGAAAGTCTTGGTGGAAATTCAAAAACCGCAATGATTGCTACAATTAGTCCTGCTGCCAGCAACATAGAAGAAACTTTAAGCACGCTTAGATATGCTAGCCAAGCCCGTTTGATAGTCAATATCGCCAAAGTAAATGAAGATATGAATGCTAAGTTAATTAGAGGTGAATATTTTTTATACTCAAATATTAATTCCAGTCTTGAAATATGCAGTTTAAGAAAATCAAAGATTTTTTTCCCCCTACCTATTTTTAATAGATACTAGTCATCATCCTACAGTGATGGAAGGACATAGGTAGAAAGGCAGCAGGAAAGAGAACAAGTAATAGGGGGAAAACAATCAGAAAAAGCGCAAAATGCAGTGTCGGTAAGGGGAAACAGCAAGCATAAAAAAAAATTTACAGACTGAGTCTTAGATGTGTGCAGCAAAATACCAATAAAGCTATGTATTATTTTTCTCTTATGACCTTTCCTCCATTGTCATTTTATTTATTAGTTCTACTCTTGCTTAATTCTTTGAGCCAAAGGTTGTTTAAAGGACTTGAGTTTTTAGTACGGGCCTAACTTCGTTTATGCTAAATACTGCTTTCTATTTACCTCTCAGTAATCATCTATTTAGGATAGACTTTAATATCTGTGAGGAATCTTGATTTGTACGATTTTATCTTTATTGATAATGAAACTATCATCTTTTCATATCCCTTTGTCCTTTGGCCCTTTTTAGCAGCGGAAGGTGATGGACACTTCAGAGGTGTGAGAGCAGAATCTGTTTTCTTGGTCTTGGTCCATCCTTTCTCTTTTGTATCCCTTCTGTATTACAAGTGAGGTTATATTGAGTGAGGTTTATCTGGGACGATCGCAGTTTATGCCTGTTGTCCCAGTGTAATTCAGAGTGCCCCCTTTATCTTTCAACAGTCTCCCACTTTGGACAATACATTATGTGGCTATTTCTACTTATGAAGGGGGAAATTTCATTAATAGGGGAGTACTTTTTCAGGGTAATGCAATTAGAGGGTTATAGGTCATATAAGTAAAGTTAAGTCGATGTCTCCGATATTCTGTTTTATTTAGTAATACTATATTTAAAACTTCAAATGAAATAGAAGATTATGTTTACTGTGGGAATTATTATATGTTAAATGTTTTTAATCATGTATTTTTTTGTTATTAATCATGTATTTTTTAACACATCTTCAGAATTGAAGGCAGAAATTGAAAAGCTAAAAGCTGCTCAGAGAAACAGTCGGAACATTGACCCTGAACGATACAGGCTCTGTCGTCAAGAAATAACATCCTTAAGAATGAAACTGCATCAACAGGAGAGAGACATGGCAGAAATGCAAAGGTGGAATGTGTGGTTAATACTTTAAATATGAAACGTGTTGCCGTGGGATAATAGAACTGGGAGGGACCTTAAGAGGATACTGAGTCTATCTTTTTCCCTAACTTCCATATGAATAGAGCAGCCCAGTCCCAGGTTATCATATTTTAAATATTATTATGTAGTTCCCTGATTTTCATTGATTGTCTCTTGATTCTCAATTTTACATATCCAGATGTTTTTAATTCTATTATTTGTTTGTCTTTGGAAAGAATTTGGAAAGAAAAGTTTGAACAAGCTGAAAAAAGAAAACTTCAAGAAACAAAGGAATTACAGGTATCATTTCAGCTTTCTAAACTGGTTTGAAAATAACAGAAATATGCCACTAAGTAAATATTGCTGATATGCCAGTTAATGTAAATTTAATTTCTCAAATACTTACTGTTTATTGACTCTGTAGAAAGCAATACCATAAGGAGGATTAATATAAAGAAATGTTAAGATCAAGATTATGATTGCTTAGAGCCCATAAACTAGTTGAAAAGTTAAAAATATAAATAAACTATCTTGTTATATTCACTTTGATTCCACAAATATTTATTAAATATCTACACCAGGACCAGGGGAGGCCAAGGTGATTAAATACAGTTCCGTCCCTCAGAGAGCTTGTGATCCAGAGGGAGTTTTATAAAATGTAAATAGAAGACAAAAGTGCAATGTGATTTGATTAGTTCGAACCATATGAAACTACCATTTTTGTGGTTAAAAAATGATTGAACACTGGCAGTTTCGTATTGTTCAACATAATGCAATGAAAAGTATGCAAAAGGTAGAGAAGCAGGAGAGAGGAGGAAACAATTAACTCTGAGGGGAGTTGTTATCAAGAGCTTCAAAGAGAAGGAGACAACTAAGCAGAGTTTTGTGCCATGAATAGGAATTTGCTAGGCTAACAAAGTCAGAATTTGCTAAGCAGAGAGATACCATGTGCAAAGGCATGGGGGCACAACACAGTCTGGACGTCTAAAGAATTAAGTTTTATATGGTTGGAAATTAAAGCTGGTGACCAGATTAGACTGGAGAGAAATGCAAAATTCAGATCATGACATATTGAGGAAATGGAACTTAGATGGTTGGGAGCCACTCAAGGTTTTAAATGGAAGGGGAGTGACATCAACAGACTTCTGTTTTAAATAGATTCTTCTGGCAATAATAGTTTGAAAGGTGGATGTGGGAGAGGAAGGACTGACGGTGGCAGGGAAAGTTACTCATTAGGAAGCTGTTGCTGTGGTTAAGGCAAGAGTTGATGGGAGCTTGGAGTATGGCAGCGACAACAGGAATGAATAGTGGAAGAGTTGGATTCAAGAAATAGGAGGTAAAATTGATAGGATTGGGAGCTTTTATTTTAGATGTGGTTGTTGAGAGAAATGCAAAAATCAAGAATGACTCCCAGGTTTCAGAAATGTGTGCATTTCATTGTGCAGTTATAAGGTCATTGCGGTGAAGGAAGAAGCCAGATGACGGTGGGTTGAGGAATGACTCAGAGATAAGGACATAGAGCCACACCTAGGGACTTTTTGAAAGTGAGAATTGTAAAAGTCAGGGAAGGGGGCTGTAAATTTGAGGGAACGTTTTGGTTTTGTTTCTTTAAAGGATTGAACATTTTTTATATGAATCAAAATTCCTTAACGGAGTGAAATCTAAAGGAAATTGGAGAAGATGAGTCAAGAGCAAAGGAAGTGACCTCAGAAGAAATACTTGAAATGAGCAGCGGGGGGCGCAGTGTAAGAATGCGGGAGGGAAAGTTCCTCCGGCATGGCCAGTCCAACCTCACAGAGGAGGTGGGATTTAAGTTGGGGTTTGAAGCTGGGATAAGATTTTGTTAGGTAGAGAAAAGGAAGAGAGCCTTCTAGGAAGGGAAAATTGTATGACTAAAGATGGGAAACTTGAAGGTGTCCTCAGGAAAGGGTGTGTGAATCAATTTTATTGGAGCAAGCAGTTTATATGAGGTCATAGGAAATGAAATTGTAAAGATATGTTGTGATTAGTTTATGAGGGGCTTGATTTCTAGGCCAAGGAAATTTAGTCATGTCCTGTAGGAATTGAGAAGCCATTGAAAATGTTTGACCAGGAAATTAGCATTTTGGGAGTACCCTTTCAAGAGAATTAATCTGGTAGAGGAAATAAGATGGATTGAAAACAGAAGTTGTTGACAGGGCAACCAAGAGGCTGCTGCGGCAGTTCCTGTGTGAGTTGATTAGGGGCCTGAACTAAGATGATGACAATGAAGATACAACAAAAGGAACTGATCCCTTCTAAAGATAATCGGTCAATAAGAAGAGACGTAATTTGGTGATGATGGATTGATATATGAGTGGACTGAGGATGTTGAAGGACAGAGAAAGACTGACATAACTATGAAAGTCTGAAAGTATGATGGTAACAGTTATAGGGAACTCACGAAGGAGAGATTCTATAATAAGGACAGATTCTAAGAAATTTTTAATTTATCGAGACTTTACATAGAATGATTCTAATGTTTAACACAGACCATTTGTTTTAGGTGAATTTAACAATTTCATGCTGTAGTTAAGATTAGCTTTTTTTTTTGACGTCTACCAGAAAGCAGGAATTACATTTCAAATGGACAACCATTTGCCAAACCTTGTTAATCTCAATGAAGATCCACAACTATCAGAGATGCTGCTCTATATGATAAAAGAAGGAACAACTACAGTTGGAAAGTATAAACCAAACTCAAGCCATGATATTCAGTTATCTGGGGTGCTGATTGCTGATGATCATTGGTATGTTAATCTTCTTAAAAAAAGGCACCTGTTCATTTTTCAGTAGGCTTCCACATCTTGACAATATGTGGTTTCCTTCACATGAGACATTCATTTATACTGATTCTTTGATATAATTCTTCAAACCCATCTTTTAGTCAGGAAAAACACAAATTCTGAGTATAAGAACCGTAGGTCAGTTACTCTCAATATAAGGTACAATATAATGCTTTCAACATTGTTCTGGTGTTCTTGATCTTCTGATTGTGGGATAATTTCTTCTCTTGGAATTATAATGACAGTCATAAAAGTAAATTTCTATCTATCTTATATGGCAGAATTTTTGGTTAGATTGGCAAATTTTAAAATTTTGTTTAAGTGAATTTTGTTCACATGAATGGAATTAAATTTGTGTATATTCTTGGGATGTTATTATACGTAAACTTTTTTGGCTGTGCCTTGTGTTTGCAAGACTTATCTGGTTTCATTTTCACTGCTATGAAGTATTCCATTATATGAATTTATCTCTTATATTATTATCTATTAAAATCTATTTATTTTGTTGGTAGACATTTGGGTTGTTTGTAATTTTTTGCTTCCACAATATTGCTATGAGTATTCTCGTACTTGTCTCCTGGTACAAATGTGAAGAATTTCTCCAGAGCAAGTTTCCCAAATGATAAGCTGAGATACTGACCCTAAGAGCTCTCAGGGCAGCTGGTAGCAACTTAGGAGGCCTGAGCTGCCAGATCATAATTTTTTAATTTTGCTATAATAATTTTTAAAGCTTAGGAAGCACGCCTAAATTGTATGTCTAAGAGTAGAGATATTAGGTTGAAGGATATGTGTGTATTTAACTTTAGTAGGTAATTTCAAATTGTTTTCCAAAATGATTATTGGTTTCTACTCCCATTAGCATTGAGGGTACCTATTACTGCACATCCTTGTCAACACTTAGTTCTGTCAGATTTTAATTTATGCCAATCTGGTGAACATAAAATAGTATCTCATTATAGGTTCATTTTGTATTTCTTTGATTGATAATGAGGTTGAACATCTTTTCATATATTCATTGGCCATTTTTGTTTACTCTCATGTGACTTGCCTGTTCATGTCTTTTGTCTGTTTTTCAATTGGATTGTTTACTTTTTTCTTAATAATTTGCAGGTGTTCTCTATATATTGTGGTTGCCAATCCTTTGTGAGTTTTATATGTTGCAAATATCTCTTTTCTAATGTGTGGCTCATCTTTTCACTCTCTGTGGTGCCTTTTGATTGACTGAAGTTCTTAATTTTATTGTAGTAACTGGCATCAATCTTTCCCTTTATGATTGTCAGTTTTTGTGTTGTTTAAGAAAGACTGTTCTACATAGAGGTCATAGAGATGTTCTCTCAATTTTCTTCTAGATGTTTTGAAATTTTGCTTTCACATTTAAGTCCTTAAAGTAGTCTGGAATTTTTTATTTGGTGTGAATCCTCTGATAAATTCATTTATTTCCATATGAATAACCAGTTCTGCCATTACCATATATTATATAGTTAATTGCTTCTTTTTTGATCTGGAGTGTTTCTGCAAAAAATTTCTAAAAATACAAGAATCTGTTTCTTCTCATTAATACCCCCATGGTCTTAATTACTTGAGCTTTGTAATGAGTCTTTATATCTGGTAAAGCAAATCCTCTTGTTCTTCAGGTCCTTTTGCTCTTCTATTAATTAATTGTTTTCTTTAACAAATAAATATGGTATTATTCACATTAGTGGCAAAGATATAGAACATGCTCCCAAATAGTTAAGAGTCTGGTAAGAGACTAGGAAGCTCCCTGTTTTCCTCGAACTCCGTACTTCCCCTTTAGTACTTTTGTCAGTGTTTGTCTTAAACTTCATGAGAACTTGTTTCATGTCTGTTTTCACTGCTGACACATATCTGGCTCTTGGGAGCTCAATGAATAAAGGAACTTTAATGCTCATTAATGTATTAATATATTAAGTGTTAGGTGAGTACTGCATACTTAGTGCTTAAATGTAAAGAGGAGGAAGAGTTTGCTTCTAACTTGAGCCGTGAAGGAAAGCTTCTTCAGGACTCTAGCATTTCAGGTGGACCTTGAAGGATGGTGGAGGTAAGGGAGAGGATGCCCCATGTCAAAGAATGACTCAGAGAAAAGAGGCAAGCCGGTATTATGCCAATTCAGGGTACTGATATGGTGGGTGGTGAGGTGTGGTTCGTAGGGGGAAATAATGGCAGATAAGGGAGGTTGGTGGTTGAGCCAGATTGTGGAGGATCCAGAATGGTAGGCCATGGAATTTTGACAGGAGAATAGATAGAAATAGGAGAGTGAAAGGATTAGAACAAGTAGACACTGTGTAAACCTTCACCTGGTTAAGACACTAGACTGGCGGGAGGATGTACTGCCTAAGGGTGAGCTATTTTTTTCCAGACACTTTTCTCTAGATGCTTTAATTGAAGTATTATTCTCTAATTACAGATCTTGGAGCTTCATCAAGAGCTAGATGTCTTTGGTTAGGACTCAGCTTTTGCTGCCGTTTTCTTTTTTTTCCTATCCAGTTAAATCAAAGATGAATTAGACTTTGGAATTTCTTTCCTATTCTCTGAATAAAAAGACTCAAAGGAATATGTAGCATTTATAGCTGATTTTCTGCAGTATCATCTTATAGTCAGGGTCCAGTTAATTAGATGACTAAGGGGTATGCTTTTATCTCCATGCTTTTCCTTCCTCTGTGGTACCCCACTTTTCATAAGGGTAAAAATGTTCTTCTTTCCATTATTAAAGCTCATATATAAAATCAGAAACTTATAAAAATGGAAAAATAAAAGCACTTAAAACTGTTCCATTCATAGGAGACTGTTATCAATATTTAAATGTTTTTTCTTGAAATGTTTTCCAATTTTTTTTTTCATTTTGGGGGGAAAGGGCTTTTTTTTTTTTTTTAAAGAAGTTATAATCAAAATACATATAATTGAAAATTTATCCACCACAGGTGGATAGAATTGCTAGAGAGGCCAGACTTTTTTTGTAATACTTCAAAATTTAGTTGAAGGAAAATAAAATAATTTCAAGTTATTGTTACATATTGATGTGAACCTTAACACCAAACTAATAACTCAAGCAGGATTAACCCATTTTACCTTTTTCTTACTTTTAGTATGTCCTGTAATTGTAACAATGTGCTTCTTATTTTAACAGTTCTATCAAAAATTTTGGTGGGACAGTGAGTATCATCCCAGTTGGGGAAGCAAAGACATATATAAATGGACAATGTATTTTGGAACCCACGGTATTACATCATGTAAGTTGGTGGATGCTGCAATGCACTTTGTGACTTTGGGCAAGTTATCGAATTTCTCTGAGTCTCAGTTTCCTCCTCTGTAAAATAAGGGAGTTGAGCTAGATTAAGGACTTTTCCGTTTCAAAAGTCCTTTTTCCTATTAATTGCCTCCCTTTGTACAAAGACAAAAGTTGTAGTATTATGAACCAGTATTTGAAGAACTGACCACTGACAGTATCATTATGTGTCCTATAAAGCAGTGGTCCCCAACCTTTTTGGCACCATGGATGGGGTTCATGGAAGACAATTTTTCCATGGGTGGGGGGTGATGGTTTCGGGATCAGTTACATGCATTACATTTATTGTGCAGTCCAGCCTCTCTGCTGGAGATAATCTGCATTTGCAGCCGCTCCCCAGCGCTAGCATCACCAGCTCAGCTGCACCTCAGATCATCAGGCATTGGATTCTCACAAGAAGTGTGCAACCCAGATCCCTCACGTGCGCAGTTTACAGTAGGGTTCACACCGCTATGAGAATCAGGAGGCAGAGCTCAGGCAGTGATGCACTTCCTCACCTGCTGCTCACCTCTTGCTGTGTGGCCCAGTTCCTAGCAGGCCATGGATTGGTATTGGTCCGTGGCATGGGGATTGAAGACCACAGCTATAAAGAGCTGGGTTTTGGAATTAGGCCAGAGTTGAAACCCTGGCTCTGCCATTTGCCATGTGACCTTTGGCAAGTTATTTAACTAGGTGATTGAATAATATCACCCAAATCAGGATACTTTTGAGAGCATTATTAATAATTACAACAGGAGAACAGACATTAACCAGTATGTTGCAAGCAAACTCAGACATATCGTCACCTACTATATCTTAGCTTTCAGGGATAGTGGAGGATTAAATGAAATAGTAGTTTGTGTATAGTTCTTAGAAAAGTATCTACAAAGAGTAAGCTGTCAATGAATGTCTGTTATTATTAAGCTCTGTGCTCTTTAGTTTCCTCATTCCTAAAATTGGGATAATATTATGTATCTCATTGAGTTGTGACACATAAATGAGATAATATACAGTCATATGCCATATAATGATGTTTTGGTCAATAATGGACCACATATATAACAGTGGTTCCATAAGATTATAATTCCATATTTTTACTGTACCTTTTCTATATTTAGATATGTTTAGATACATAAATATTTACCTTTGTGTTACAATTGCCATAGTATTCGGTACAGCAACATGCTGTACAGGTTTGTAGCCTAAGAGCAATAGGCTATGGTATAGCCTAGGTGTAGACTAGACTATACAATCTCAGTTTGTGTAAGTACACTCTGATGTTCACACACATCACTGTATACAAAGTGCTTAACACGGTGTTTGACGTATAGAAAGTAATAAATGTTAGTTACTATGATTTTTATGTTTGTTATTAGTAATATTAGACTATTTTGAGCATAATAATTTTTCCCATGTAATTTTTTTGTTCCAACTTACCTCAAGTAGTAAATTTTTTGTGTGCTTTAGGGTGATCGGGTGATTCTTGGTGGAGATCATTATTTTAGATTTAATCATCCAGTGGAAGTCCAGAAAGGAAAAAGACCATCTGGTAGAGATATTCTTATAAGCGAGGGTCCAAAAGACTTTGAATTTGCAAAAAATGAGTTGCTCATGGCACAGAGATCACAGTGAGTATTATTGTTGATATGAAAATAGTAGGTGTATGAGACAGGTCTGCAACAGAGTCAATCACTTTGTGCTGGTCTTTAGTAATTAACTCTTTGGCTGCTGGTTTCTAATGATGTAATTTTTTCTTGGTACACTCATTCATTCAGCAAACATTTATTGAGCACCTGTTATGTGTCTGTTGCTGTACCAAATGCTAGGGATAAAAGGAATAATAATAGAAATTTAGCTCCTATGCTAACAGAATTCATCATCTTATGGGGCTGATAGACAGACATTTATGACGGCACTATGACAGAGTGCTCTGACGCAGTCCTGCACTGTATGGTGTAGGAGCTCATGGGGTGACACCTGGCCCCAGCCAGTGATCAGCAAAGGTTTCTAGAGGGTGAGAAGATGTCCCCTAGAGCAGAGTCCCAAGAGACTATTAGAAGTTAGGCAGAAGAAGACTGGGGAAGTGTACCTTTGTTTTTCTTTTCTTCTTTTGCCCCAGTTCATGCAATATTGTAAGATTTCTGGCTTAAGCAGTATCCTTGTAAGCTAAATGCTAAAGTATATATAAATAAAATGCTAAAGAATTTGGATTTTATCTGAACGGATAAGGGAACCATTAAAAAAATTCTAAGCAGATATGAGACACTCATGATTAGAATCACATTTTTGGAGAGATCACCCTGACCCAAGTTGAGAGAATGGATTAGAGGTAGAGCAGGGTTACAGGCTGCAAATGCAGTTAAGAAACTATTGAAGTGAGATAAGAATAGTGTGGTTAGGTAGGAGAGAAATATAAAGGAGATAAAATCAACAAGTGTTGATGACTAAAGAGGATGAAGGGAAGAGGAATCAAGAACGACTAGTATGGGCTGGACTAACCTTGCTTTGTCACGTTTTAAAAAGCGCAAAACTGCATTTGTCTTCTTTTTCAAAATTGTTTTATTGTAGTATAATATACATAGCATAAAATTTACCATTTAAACCATTTTCAAGTGCATGGTTCAATGGCATTAAGTTCCTTCACAGTGTTGTGCAACTGTCACCACTATCCGTCTCTGGAAATGTTTCATCATCCCAAACTGAAATCCATTAAACAGTAACTCCCCATTCTGCTTTTTCCCTAGCCCTGGGAACCACTGGCCCTCTTTCTTTTGACGTTCTTATTCTTTTTCCATATAGAATATATGGAATGGAAATTTCTATACAGCATAGTTGCTAAAGCACTCATTTTTTTGAGAAGAAAGAAGCTTTTTAGTTTTCTATAATCATTGATGCTTTTTCTCCTGTATTGAGAAGTGACAAACATTAAGTTAATGTTTTAAATATTAAAACTTCACATTATTATAAATGGTTGAATATATGATACAATCTCTGCTGTATCAGCTTTTATATCATATGTTTTTAGAGTCATTTCAATATTTTCTTAACCTATGACCTAAACGTAAACTAAAAGTTATTGATATATGAAATATAATTTTTGCTCTAACCACTGTTAGTTTAATAAAATACCCTTATTTTGTGTTTACTATAATATTTACTGCAGTGTTTGATATGTTTTTATATAATTTATTTTCCTTAAGCATTTGAAAAATATATTTAAATATGAGGCATCTGCAATAGTAACTAAGTTAGAAATAAGCAAATTTTCATCCTTTTTTTGTGTATATCAACAATTCTAGAACCAATGAAAATTTTAATAACACGGTTGATAGAATGTCAGAAATTAAGTTTTAAGATTTAAATTTCTGTTAAATGGAAAACATTTTAATATGATTAAGAACTATTATGGTATGTAAAGAATTCTTAACATGTACCTGTCAATATCTTGCTACGTTGTAGACTGGAAGCGGAAATAAGTCAGGCACAGTTGAAAGCAAAGGAAGAAATGATGCAAGGCATCCAGATTGCAAAAGAAATGGCTCAGCAAGAGCTTTCCTCTCAAAAAGCTGCGTACGAAAGCAAAATAAAAGCACTGGAAGCCGAACTGGTAAAAGGCAGAATCGAGTTGTTTCTTTTCTTCCTTACAGTACAGCCCAAGTGAGGAGCTGACTATAAAATTGATTATGTCCCTATAAGGGAACTGAGGGACTGTCAGAGATTAGAATGTCAACGCCACGGTGACTCTTGGCCCTCTTTAATTTTATAATACGTTAACAAGCAAGTTGGTAGCAGATAATGGCCACTTGGAAGAAGAGGAAAAATAAGACTCTGTCCTCCAGCCACTTGGATCGTGGCTTTCTCCATGGTTTACTGGCAATCTTGTATCACCAGAAACCCATTTGAGAGATGAATACTCTTGAAGTTTGACTAGTTAAAAATCTAACTGTTTTTAGTTAGATTAGTTAACCTGAATGAAGTGGAGAAGCTAAGGGCATCTTACCTATTATTGAGTAATTTCTTGCACATTGATTAAAGAAAGGGACTTTTTAACTTTTTTGGTACTATTTTTTTTAAAAAGCTCTGTTTTTTTTCCGTAAGTTATTTTTTGTTATTCTTTAAAGAAAGAAGAGTCTCAGAGGAAGAAAATGCAGGAAATAAATAACCAAAAGGCTAATCACAAAATTGAGGAATTAGAAAAGGCAAAGAAGCATCTTGAACAGGAAATATATGTCAACAAAAAGCGATTAGAAATGGAGACTTTGGCGACAAAGCAGGTAATTTCATTTTATAGCTAGTTTGCTCTATTCTGAGGGAAAGCTGGATTTTTTTTTTAAAGAGGTTATGGTATCTTCACAGAAGAAAGCCAAATGCAGGTCTGTAGGTGAGGATGATTCTTCTTGCCTGAAAGCTTATGTCCTGGTAGTGCTCACAGATCTGCTCATACATCATCACACAGAGATTTTGAGAGAGACAGAGCTCTTATTTCCAGCTAGTCGCACTCCTGTTTTCTCTTTTTATGCCTCTGCAACTATCTGGTCATCAGTCATGCAAATAGCGTAAATAAGTGAACTAGTGCTGCGGCACGATATGTAGAAGAAGACAGTTACAGCTCTTGTAATAGGTCACATCCTCATGTCAGAATGAAATATCATCTGCCCGTGGAAAGAGCAGCAACAGGCTGTCTCCTAAGAGAACACACAGTAGGGCGTTCCTTACCCCAGTCTTGTGAGCGTGGTGCCTACTTTTGTCACCCTATTGAGGACATAGGCATCTTTTAGGGGCTGACTCACATGAACCAATTTCAAATACTGAAGGATAAAACCAGAATGTTAACATATGAATACCTTTGGTCACCTTACTGTCAACATTTCTGGCCATTCTTTCTCTTTATATTAGTGGTTCTCAAAGTGTGGTCTCCAGACCAGCAGCATCAGCATCATATGGGAACCTGTTAGAAATGCAAATTCTTAGGCCCCCATTCTAGAACTGCTGAGTCAGAAACTCTGGTAGTGGGGCCTAACATCTATTTGAACAAGCCAAATGGCAGATTCTGATGAGTACTAAAGTTTCAAAACCACTGTTTTGGTTCTTTGTATCTTAATCTTAAGGTTTTACTTTCGAATAGCAATTTTACTTCTCTTTTTTTCCAAGTTTATGGGGTTGGAGAGAGCAGAGACTGGGGTGGAGGTAGGAGCACATACTCCTAGTAATCCCAAAGTGCTGGTACTATAATATAGTGAGAGGCAGAAAGCAGCTAGTGAACCACCGCAGAGTTTTAGGAGAAAAACATAGAACTGTTTAAATCTTGAAAACAGTTATTAGTGGGCTATTATAAGGCTTATTTAGGCCAAACTAAGTTTCTTATGTCTTTGAAATCGAACTTCTTTATTTAGTCAACAAATGTTCTTGAGTGCAGCCTTTTTTGAGCAGTTTTTCCTTTTTTTTTTTTTCTCCTAAATTTTCTTACTTCCTGTCAATGGGAAGAAATAGATTATGTCATCAAAAATTCCCAATGATTTTGTTGTGGGGAAAAAATCATAAGGAAATTTTATAAATTATTTTGTAAAAGCCTTTTATGTTTAATAAAACACATAAAACATGTTAACCATATATGCTTAATAAAACACGTACTATAAGGCCGGGTGTGGTGGCTCACGTCTGTAATCCTAGCACTCTGGGAGGCTGAGGCAGGCGGATTGTTTGAGCTCAGGAGTTTGAAACCAGCCTGAGCAAGAGCAAGACCCCGTCTCTACTAAAAATAGAAAGAAATTAATCAGACAACTAAAAATATATATAAAAAAAATTAGCCGGGCGTGGTGGCGGATGCCTGTAATCCCAGCTACTCGGGAGGCTGAGGCAGGAGGATCGCTGGAGCCCAGGAGTCTGAGGTTGCTGTGAGCTAGGCTGACGCCATGGCACTCACTCTAGTCCGGGGAAAAGAGTGAGACTCTGTCTCAAAAAAATAAAAAAATAATAGAAATAAAACACATACTATAAAATGAGGTTTAATTATAGTTTGTTATTACCAATCTGGTTTTTTTTAAAAAAAGATTTTATTATGTATATTTAAAGGATACAATGTGATGTTATGGGACACATATAAGTAGTAAAATGGTTACTATAGTGAAGCAAATTAATATATCCATTGTCTCAGTCTGGTTTTATAAATTTTTCTCTTTGCATATTCTCACTTGTGGGGCTGTATGAATGAATGTCAATTAGGCTTTAGAAGACCATAGCATCCGCCATGCAAGAATTCTGGAAGCGTTAGAAACTGAAAAACAAAAAATTGCTAAAGAAGTAGAAATTCTACAGCAGAATCGGAGTAATAGGGATAAAACTTTTACAAGTGAGTATAAGCTGATTTTAGCAAACATTTTCTAAAATTATGTATGTTATATATAATTACTAAAATGTTAGAGTTAGTTGCCTTTATATATTCAAAATGTGTTTTTCTAGATGATGTTGAATTTTGTGGATCTAAATACGTTTTTAGGAATGATTGTCTTTAGAATATTTAGTTATATTAGTGCTATAGACTGAATGTTTGTGTCCCCCCAAAATTCGTATGTTGAAATGCTAACCCCCAGTGCAGTGGTGTCAGGAGGTGGGGCCTTTGGGAGGTGATGAGGTCGCGAGGGCACAGCTCTCATCAGTGGAATTAGTGTCCTTATAAAAGACGTCCCAGGAGAAGGCCCCTCATTAGAACCTTTCTATGTAGAATACAGTGCTTTTTAAATGTAAACTTTTTTTTCACTATGGAGAATTTTATACAAACTGTAAAAGTAGAGAGATTGCTACAGTAAACCCTTGTGTACTTATTGAACAATTATCAACACATGTTCAATTTGTTGCTGCTATACTTAATCCCCTTGCTTCCCTATTCTATTCTGAAGCAAATCCAAGACGTCATATAATTTGAGATGTACATGCTTCACTGTATATCTCTAAATTATTAATAGATAAGGACCCTATTTTCTCTCTCTTTTTCTGTCACTCTTTAAAGCATTACCATGATATTATTAGCACATCTAAAAATTAATTTCTTACACTCATCAAATATCTACTCCATATGCAAATTTTCTGGATTGTTTCATACATTTTTTTAAACACTTGATTTGTTTGAATCAGGGTAAAACATGATCCACCATTGTGTTTGGTAGGTGTGCCTTTTAAGTCTCTTTTAATCTGTAAATTCGCTATTCTCTTCTTTCTCTCTCTCTCTCCCTTTGTAATTCATTTGTTGAAGAAATCAGATTATTTGTCATGTAGAGTTTCTAGGATTCTGGATTTTGCTGATTGTGTCTCCAGGGTGTTGCTTAACAGGTTCCTCTATTTCTTTGTTCCCTAGAAAGTGGTAGTTAAATCTATAGGCTTATCAGATTCAGGTTCAGTTTTTTAGCAAGAATATTTGGTAGGCATATTGTGTACTTTCTATAACTTCTAGCTTAAGATATTTTAAAAAATATTAATACTCTTTATATTTGTTGCAAGAGATAAATAAATATATTAATAAATCTTTTTATTGTCTTAGGGCCTAGAACAGTGCCTCACAATGATTACTTGATTTTTTTTATTCATATGAATAATGAGTTTTAGTCTTCCACAAAACTATTTTTAGTGGACTACTGGTTATAAGTTTGAACAGTATACAAAATATTTATGATAAAATCTTAAATTTAAATTGGGAAAATGAAATTGTTAACTAAATTGTTTTCCCCTTTTAATGTCTTGATATATGTATATACACACATATATTTAATATATCAAGACATAAAAGTAAACCTTATTTTTATATTTATATATATTTTGTAGGTTTTTAGGGAAAATACAAAGGGGATGTAGTTCTATATAAGTACGGCTATAATATACTTTACCTGATACTTTAAAGAAATTAGAAATTAGGAAAAAAAGAAATTAGAAAAGAAATCTGTGCAGATACCAGAAAGGAAAGCATTGTCTTTCTTTGGTGTGTCTTCTTTTACAGTTCCTTATCCTTTCTGTCAGCTTCAGTTTTCTTCCATCCCACCACAGGCAAAAGACCTCATATTTTATTTTTAAAATGAGGACTGAAGAAAAATTACTCAAATATCATTATCCTTTTGCAATATACAGTTAAAATCATTCATTTAAAAAGAATAATTTGGCCGGGCGCGGTGGCTCACGCCTGTGATCCTAGCACTCTGGGAGGCCAAGGTGGGTGGATCGTTTGAGCTCAGGAGTTCGAGACCAGCCTGAGCAAGAGTGAGACCCCGTCTCTACTAAAAAAATATAAAAAATTAGCTGGACAACTTAAAATATATAGAAAAAATTAGCCGGGCATGGTGGCGCATGCCTGTAGTCCCAGGTACTCAGGAGGCTGAGGCAGGAGGATCGCTTGAGCCCAGGAGTCTGAGGTTGCTGTGAGCTAGGCTGACGCCACGGCACTCTAGCCTGGGCAACAGAGTGAGACTCTGTCTCAAAATAAATAAATAAATAAAATAAAATAAAATGAATACTTTTTTTCAGGAATCATTCCGCCTAGTGAAATATGTGTGCTCATAATGTATTTTGAATCTTCTTTTTGTACTTTCTATTAGTTCAGACAAATTGGAGCTCCATGAAACTCTCAATGATGATTCAGGAAGCCAATGCTATCAGCAGCAAATTAAAAACATACTATGTTTTTGGCAGGTGAGTAATTATCCTGTTTATAAAATATTCTTTGTTTTAAACTAGTTGACCTTTCTATAATTTAGTTTCTCTAAAGTCTACTCTGCCGTGCCTGTCCAGGAAAGAGTTGGTGCCAGCATCCCCTTGACACTTGCAGACCCCTTTCAAGAGCTCACTCAGGAGTGAAAGAGGTTTCGGCAACTAACACACGAGTATATTTATAAGCAGAATAATTTTAGATGTTTTAGAAATTTGCTAATTTTCTTTTGAGTTGAAAATTTATCAATATTCCACTTTTTAAAAAGGGATATACCTTATTAGAATTATTGTGATTTTTTAAATAATTTTTATATAAGAAGTTATTTTATATGGTATCTGTTTAGACATGATTATCATAATAATAAAAATACTTAACTATGGAAAGATTAAATCAGTGGACTGAATTTTTATGGAAATTATTCTGCTCCAGAAAACTCTTAGTATAAATGGGTGTGTATGTTTTAGTATAAACATTTTTTTATTTGTTTGTTTGTTTTTTCTTTCAGACATGATGTATCAGATAAAGGTAGTTCTGACACTTCTATTCGGATTCGCAACCTGAAACTAGGGATCTCAACTTTCTGGAGTCTGGAAAAGTTTGAATCTAAACTTGCAGCAATGAAAGAACTTTATGAGGTTTGGAATGTTATTAATCTCTATAAACTTTTTAAAATAAAATATAAAAGTGATACATTCTCAGTAAAGAAAATTTGGAAAATAAAAGGCAATCGGTCAATTACCCAAGCCAACCAATGTTAAGAATGATGTATATTTAGTTTACTTTTGCATTTAAATGGGGTTTTATTGGTTTATTTTAATGTAATTATAAGTATAATAGAGAAATTTAGTGCTGAATCTATTCAGTTATAATTGTATATTTTAAAAATTTTATGTTTAAGCTTAAGGGAAGAAGAAATTTGATAGACGTAAAACAAATTGTATCATTTGAATTTATCTTCTTATGCTTAATAATGTGTATTTTTACATATTTACATTTATATTTTCCCATTGCTTTGCCTTGGCTATTTCCAATTGTTTTCTGCTTTTTATAGTCATAACTAAAAATATCTCTGTACATATTAATTTTTAATATCTTATTTACTTGTTTTCTATTTTTTAAAGTGGAACTCAAAATATGAACTTTTTATTACACTTTGATGCTCACTGACAAATTGCTTGCCAGAAATATTACCATTTACCAATGCTGCTGGTTTGCTTTAATTTGTATTTTAATAACTAGTGAATCTGAGGGTTTGACTCTTTGTTTCTTCCTGGGTAAAGTATTCCTGCCCTTTGAATTTTTTGTTAAGTGAAATATGAGTAATGAACTATTTAGTAATATATCTATACAAGTTCTTTACATATTTTGATAACACGCCTCTGTTTTATATTTATCATATACATTTTTTCCTGATTATATAATCTTTTTCTTGGCTTCATTTTGTTATGCAGGCATTTTAAATTTGGTATATTTGAATTAACCCAGATATTATCCAACCTGTGCATTTTCTTTTAATTTTTTAAAAATGTTTACACCTTTGAATCACATAGGATTTATTATGGTGGTTTGTGAGAGGTATGAATTTAAAGTTAATTTTTCTTCTTTTTATCTAATTATCACTAAAATAATTGCAACGTATTAAATTGTTGCGTTGGTACTATTTGTCAAATACACTACCTTTAAGTAGTGTGACTCTATATGGAATTATATTTCACACTATTTAGGTAATTATAGTAATGAAGATATATGTAAAAACTTATAGGATGCTGACAAATTATAGCCTAATACTTGAATTGTTTAATAGAAAAATGAAAATAAATATTTAACTCAATCTAGAAAACAGTAAAATAAAACAAAGGAAAGCAATTGAAGGAATCATTATAAGATACAAATAATGAATTAGAAATTAATAAATCAAAGTTCTGGTTCTTTGAAAAAATAAATGTGATTTTAGGAATGAGAAATGGTATATAAAGATAAGGAAAATGTTTAAAAATTTTATTACTTCTAAAATTTTATTCTAATAAATTTGACAATTTTCTAACAAAGAAAAGACTTCCTAGAAAAAAATAAATTATGAAGTCTGACTTAATAGATGAATAGCCTTGTAATAATTTGAAAAGTTTGTCAACAAACTGGCCTCAAGAAAAAAAAGTGGAGGAGTAAAAGGTGCTGATCCCAGTCAGTTTTATGGGTGAGCTCTTTTAAACTTCCAAAGAGCCGATAAATCCCATTCTGTTTAAACTATTCTAGCACATAACAAAAAATAGAAAGTGTCACAGTTCATCTTATGATGCTAGAATAACTGTGATTAAAAACAAAACAAACAAAACCCACAAAAACTGAAAAGATGACTCAGAAGAAAATTACCAACCAATGTTAATATGAACACAGCTATAAAAATCCTGAATGAAATGTTAGTAAGTCAAACCCCAAACTATATTTAAAGAATACTTATACCATGATCAAGCAGATTTGTTTATTCCAGGAACGGAAGGTATATTCATAATAGAAAATCCAAAAAGACTGAAAGGAATCTTACCAAAACATTGGCAGTGTTTATGTCTAAAGGATGGGTTTTTGAGTGGTTTTAAATTTTTCTTTGTGTTTATATTTATTAATAATTTCCAGATTTTCTGCAATGAATTTGAATTGCTTATATATTTTTAAATTTTTTTATTTTACTTTTTTTAGAGACAGGGTCTCACTGTGTCACCCAGGCTGGAGTGCAGTGGCGTCATCATAGCTCACTGCAACCTCAAACTCCTGGGCTCAAGGGATCCTCCTGCCTCAGCCTCTCAAATAGCTGGGACTACAGGTGTATGCCACCATGCCTGGCTAATTTTTTTCATTTTTTTAGACATGAGGTCTCACTGTGTGGCCTAGGCTACTTTTGAACTCCTACCCTCAAGCGATCTTCCTGCCTCAGCCTCTGAAGTTGCTGGGATTATAGGCATGAGCCACCACACCAGGCTGCCTGTGTATTTAGAATAACAAAAAATAGTATTGAGGTCATTTGACCACTCATTCTTGCCTTGCCATATACTTTAAAACCTAGTGGTTGAATTACTCTCACTGTTAACTTACTTCCTGCTTTCAGCTATTCATTACAATTCTTTACTTGTTTTTCCATAAAATTATACTGTCTCTGAATCAAACTCTATATAATATTTTGCTAGAATTTTAATTGGTATTATTTTAAATATATAAAATATAGATTATTATCATGATCAATATATTCAACCAGGAAGTGACTGCATCTTTACATCATTAAGATTATTCTTTCATTTCTTTCCTGAGGATTTTATTGTTTTTGTTTTTACTGTGACTTCCAAATCCCAAGTTTATTATTTCTGAATTATTTAATGATTTCTGTTGCTTTTATTAAAAGTAGATCTCTTTTAATATAATCCCTAACATCATATGATTGGTTTTTAATTTTATCAGGAATGTGATTTTTTTAGACTTTTGTTAGATGATCTGTAATTTTATAAATTTTATGTTTTAAATGTAACAAAGTATTTAAACATTTTTTTTCTTAGTTGCTAAACATTTTTCACCCATAATTAATGAAACTATATATGGTATTTTTCTTAGAGTAATGGTAGTAACAAGAGTGAAGATGTCTTTTGTGATCCTGAAGATGAATGGGAACCTGACATTACAAATGCACCTGTTTCTTCATATTCTAGAAGGAGGTAAAGACGTTTTTGTTATTGGGTTTCTTGTTCTGGAGAGAATTATGTATATATGTAATTTCCTTATTTTAAAAGATGGATATGTCTATGAAGGCAACCCAGAAACATAAAAGGACTAGTATGGGGCTTTTTTGTTTTTGTTTTGAGACAGAGTCTGGCTGCTTTGCACCGGGTAGAGTGTAAGTGGACTCATCATAGCTCACAGCAACCTCAAATTCCTGGGCTCAGGTGATCCTCCTGCCTCAGCCTCCCCAGTAACTGGGACTATAGGTGCACGCCACCACACCTGGCTAGTTTTTCTATGTTCAGTACAGACGGGGTCTTGCTCTTGCTCAGGCTAGTCTCAAACTCCTGAGCTCAAGCAATCCTCCTGCCTTGGCCTGTGAAGAGTGCTAGGATTATAGGCATGAGCCACTGTGCCTGGCCAGGAATAGTATGTTAGTGATCAATTATAGCATTTAGGGCATTAAATTGTTCATCAGTCAGTTAGAGGAACCAAAATGTTCAGTATTTCATCCTTAAGTGCAACTTAGAGTAGCATAAATCTAATTTCCTATAAAAATGAACAGTATTTATGACTTTGAAATTATTCTTTCTCAAGAACTTGGCATATTCTATGATATTTTATTGTAAGTTATAGAATTTTAAATGTAGTCAAGTTAGTATGAGCACCACAAAAGAATAAATCATGGTGATAGAGAACTTCTATGTATGACAAATGTTGCTTATTAACTCTAAACATAAGACTTCCACAGAGAGTAACAGATGATTTTCAAGGAAAAACTCATTCTGCTTAGACCTCAGGTGCTTAGATTATAGAGAGGCAAAATGGTATCATGGAAAGGCTTTGGTCTTGGAAGGAACTTAGCTCCTTAGTTTGGTTTTTAAACAAATATTTCTGTGATGACTACTGTCTGCCATGGCCTGAGGAAACAAAGATAAATAAAAAATACTCCCTGTCATCAAGGACCAGCAATTGAGGAAAGTAGAGGCAGGAGCAGGTGATGAAAACTTGAACTAAAGCCAGGCAGAAGGAACTGGGGAGGAGAGTCAGGTTTTACACATATGCAAGATGCAGAATCAAGTGGATCTGGTTGCTAGTCATGGGGTTGAAGGTGTGAAAGGGCAGAAAGATGACTCCTGGTTTTAAGTTAGGTGACTGATGAGAGGAAAGTGGTGTTCCTTGAGATGGAGAGGAGTTTACTTTTGAACTTGAGAGTCTGAGTCTGAGGTTCCCAGGGGACATCCAGGTGTATATTTAGATCTAGAACTTTGAAGGAGGGAGTTGGGAATTTTCAGGATGTTAAGGGTCAATATTATTCATCCATCAACAGGAGCATTATCATTTTCAAGAACCCTTACTGAATGCTTGCTGAACATCACCTCATTTAGCACTCACCACAAACCTGTGAAGTAGGTATGCTCATTATTCCCATTTTACAGATGAAGAAACTGAGAAGTTAGGTTAAGTAACCTGTCCAAAGTCATGGAGCTGATAAGCTGAAGACCTGGTACTCAAATCTAACTTTGGGTGACTCCAAAGCTCATGATTTTCGTAACCGCCAAGCCATATTGCCTCTCCTTTGCATATGAAAGAGTAGTCTTTCTGTTTAATCATTTTTGTTTTTTTAAACTTCATTGTCTTCGGCTGCAGGTCAGAATCAATTTGGGTTTCCATACCTTTTTAGGCCTCTCTTGTCTTTTTTGACCCAGCTTATTTTAAACTAATTTATAATTTTCCTCAAAGAGATTGATGGAATAATTTATAGTGACTGTTTCCCTATTATTTCTGCTTTATTTGCTCTATGTTAACTGCTGAGCTACGTAAGAAATTACTACAACACAACAAGCATTACCCTGAAGGAAATACAAAGCATATCATTTAAACAAAAATGAGCTCCTTGAGTGCAGGGAACATATCTGTATCCCCTACAATGCAGTACAGTACAAAGATCACAGCCTCTGTTACCCGAGTCCTGGGTTCTAATCTATGCCCAGTGTGGTCATGGGCAGTGACCTTACATCTCTGGGCTTCAGTTTTCTTATCTATAAAATGGAGATAGTCATATATATATAATACCTACTCTACAGGGATTTATCATTAAAATTAAGTGAGAGCACATGTATAGCGCAGCTACTGCTCCTGCTACTTCTTCTGTGATCATATAATCTACAACACGGGACTGACGATGTTGCAGAGTTGTCGTAAGGGTTAGAGATAGTGTCTGTAAAGCTCCTACTGCAGTGGGTGGGAATTCAATAAATGGCAGCTCTGATTATTGTTGCATGATTTCTTATTATTTTTATTAAACAGCTGTAAACTTTTTGTACTTAGAATTATGGATCACAATATGAACCTTAATAATGAGCATTAGCACTTTAGCCTATTGAATGTTGGCAATTTGCATCTTATTTCCTACTGACTTTTAGGTTCCTAATTAGGGAATCAACAGAACTTTAAAATGTTATCAAAAATCAAAACGTCTCTTAGTATTTTGTAAGATTTTGAAATTGGGTGTTTTCATTTGGTAGAGATATTTTTGGGAAATTCTGTAATTTAAAAGTATCATATTTTTTAAAAAATGAATTGCTCTTAGTCTGAGACCTTGCGTATGAAGTTTCAGCCTTGTAAGAATGTTTATGACAGAATCGCAAACTCTGAGAGTGCCCGCAGGTAATGGAAACACTGACAGATCCTTAATTATAGAACTTCTACTGGGCGATGATACGCCACAGTTGTTCTGCAATAAACTAGACTGGTTTGGCTGCCTATAAATTTGGGTATGTGCTGTTGACAGTTAAAAGTAAATTTTCCCCTAAGGTTAAGTACAAACTCTTTGAAAGGAATGTGACAAGCATTTTCTTTATTTGGGTTTAAACATTGTTTAACTATGATAGTGTTGAAAGAATAACAGTTTTCCTAGTTTAGACTTACTATAATAATGTACCCTTTTTTCTCACCTGTAAGTAGAAAAACTGTAATATTTGAGAATTGATATTTTCTCTCCCTTTTATCAGTCATATTTCTGTGTTTTTCTTGTAGGAATTCATGGGGGAAATTTTAGATCTGGAACATTAAGGCTACTATTGATAGAATGCTTTTGCTTAACAATCTTCAACAAACAATGTTTTTCTTTGAGTGGCCACCGGTAGTAGAGAGTTCTGTTAGGAAAGAGACTTCAAAGGATCCACTAAATTTAGATCTAGGTCACTGCTTGGGTAGTTTCATGGACATACAGAACTGGAGCTAGAGTTTAGAAAGCTGACAGATGAATGACAAGGTGGAAGCGGGTTGCTTTTTGCAGTAGGCTCCTTTCTGAGAAGCAGTTAGAGTTACAGCCAGACAGCCACTCACGGCAGAGATTTGAGCGTTTTTATAGGATGAGAAAAAAGTGGCAGCAAAAAAGAGCAATTGGAGATAAAATCATTTCCTCCATTTGTGTTACTGCTGCTAAACTTCATAGGTATTATGCTTTGCATACTATGTAGCAAATATTTACTTAGCTGTTTGTTTACCTAGATCACTTCCCTGTTTAAAACGCTTTTGTGGATAATTCGCTCAGCATGAAATCCAAGCTTCCTTAATTGGCGCACAAGGCCCCTCCACACCTCCCAGCCTCATCCCCTGCTGTGTCTGAGACACTCCTCTGCTTCCCAAGCCCCTGCCCCTGTTTGACTAACTTTTGCTAACCCTTCACGCTGCAGGAGACTCTCCTGACTGCTTGGGCCAGGTCAAGTTCTACCACAACATTCATCACTTTACTGTAATTATTTGCCTAATTTCCCTCTTTTGCTCTGGACTTTAAATACAGTGAGCTCAGTAAACATGTTTGCCATGTTTCGCCACAGTATCCAGAGCCTGTAAGTAGAACTCAGTAAATATTTGTTCTATTTGATTAACCATAGGCTTAGAGCAGTGCTTGTAAATAGGAAAATTCTTTCTCAATTAACCAATTAATTTAGCCCTTGATAAAAATTTTTCATGGAAAACACAAACATACATTTCCATTTTCTTTAGAGTATTTGAAAATAAATATTCTTAATAATGTTATTCCATGTGGTGTGTAACTACTAATCTATGGTTTATCTTTCTTCAGGAGCAGGAGTTTGATGAAGAATAGAAGAATTTCTGGTTGTTTACATGACATACAAGTCTACCCAATTCAGAATTTGCATTCTTCACGTGCATCAGGTATTTTTCTCGTCAAGTTTTTCGTACTGTGAGAAAAGTGTCAAGTCCTGGCTCTATCATTACCTTGTTCCATGTCCTTGTGCAAACCGTTTCATTTCCTAAAAGCTTCCATTTCCTCTGCAAAATGAGGAAGATGGATTGGATGGCCCCTTCCACGTCTAAAATTCTGTGTTCTGTGATTTATTTCAAAGCCTTTTAGTAAAGTGGCTAATTCAAATGTGGAAGACATGGATATGTTCAGAAATATATGAAAATATTATTTTCTTTTTTTTTTTCTTCTCAATGGACTGACTACTGATGGAGAAAATATTATTTTCTTATAAGTGAAAAAAAGCAAAGTGCAGGAGATTATGTATCATATACTATCATTTGGGTGAGGAGGAGAAAAAAGATGATGTATACATGGATACTTACAAATGAATATGATATCTCTGGAAACTTACACCACAGCCTGGAAGTGCTGGTTGTCCATGGGCGTGGGGGATGGGGATGGGCAGGAGCGAAGCCTTTCTTTTCACTGTGTACCCTTTGGTTCCTTCTGAATTTTATATAATGATCCATCTATCATCTATTCCACAGTTAATTTAATTAAAAAATGTTTCAAAGAAAAAGTTATAGGAATTATTCCTTTGAGTAATTATTTTGTACAAATATTTATCATACTGTTAATTTACCTATAGAAGGGTAGGATACACTATAAATTTGTATGTGTAATTATCTATAGTAATTAAAATTTAAAAATTACTACCTGCTCAAAATAGACACAGCAATAAAGAAGGAATGACTGATTCACACATCAACTTGGATGAATCCCCAAAACATAATGTTGAGTGAAAGAAGTCAGAAGCAAAAGAGCACAAACTGTATGATTCCATTTACATGAAGTTTAAGAACAGGCAAAATTGATCTATGGTAACAGAAGCCAGAGCAGTTCAGAATTGAATGGCGTGACTTCTGTTGGGTGTTATTAACTGGGAAGAGATTAACTGGGAATGGGATGGTGGAAATGTTTTATATATAGTATGTTGAGCTAAGCAGAGGTTACACAGACATACATGTGTACAAAACAAGTTGTACACTTAAGAGGTGTGAACTTTACGGTATATAAACTACGCCTTAGTAAACAAAAAGTTTTAAAATACTTGTGTAATAGAATAATCTATTTCATAAAGGTCCTAATGGTATATGAATAGCTATAAAAGGAATTATATCTCAACTTGACTTTATTTATTTAGTTCGAGACAGAGTCTTGCTCTGCCACCCTGGGTAGGGTACAGTGGTGTCATCGTAGCTCACTGCAGCCTCAAACTCCTGGCCTCAGATGATCCTCCTGCCTGAGCTTCCTGAGTACCTGGGCCTACAGGTGTGCACCACCATGCCCAGCTAATTTTTTCTATTTTTGGTAGAGATGGGGCCTCGCTCTTGTTCGGGCTGCTCTTGAACTCCTGACCTCAAGTGATCCTCTGCCTTGGCCTCCCAGAGTGCTGGGATTACAGGCGTGCCTGAGCCACCGCACCTGGCCTCATCTTGATTTTAAAGAAATTTAGGGGGGAAAAAAGAAATTGGGGGTTTCTTTTTTTTAAATTGTCAAATTATCTTTTAGGCAGATGATTATGATCCTAGTACTTATTTAATGTAAGGTAGATTAAAATTTGCTATAGGTTTCTTTTTTTTTTTTTTTTTACCAGCAAAATACAAAGATATATATGTGTGGTAGCAACTTATTCAGTATGTTTTGAGAGTAAGATGTTTTACAAAAGTAATTTTAAGGATAAGTCAGAGATACAAGAGGTCTTTGTTTATTTGCAGTTTTCAAAGAGAGAGTGGAAACCCACATGTGCCCTTAGGAGAAACCCGTCTGGGCAGCTGTGGATGGTGGACAGAGGACCAGACCTGGGGGTGGACAGGGGCTACACCGCAGTGTCTAGCAGTTTCCAGCTTTGGGAAATTGAGCAAGGGTCATAACTTCTCAAATTAAGGGACATATTTTTAAATTAGATTTTTGCAGGTCTTTCTAAAATCTTGTTGGATTTTAGAATGCATTAATACAATTATCTTCTTAAACAGAAAATAGTTCACTCTTAGTGACCATAATATAGTCATTGTCATCATAATGATATTTATTCATTATTACACTGTAGCTTTGAGTTTCACAGCTTTTCTTTTTTCTCTTCTCAAATCAAACTCTTACCTACTAGACTTTTAATACTCCTCACCCTATGCCTTTAGTCTACCTTCCTTTTAGTTCACTGTTTGTAATCACCTATAGACTGGATCAGAAGACTAATCTTATATATTAAATGAGAATCACTATACTGCATATATTAGCACTCCAAGATAAGGTTATTTCCAGAGGATCTGAGCACTGTTTCAAGCTTTTCCATTTACTTCTGTTTGAACAGTGCTTAGAAAATTATGCTTTCTGAAAGTCTGTCTCCCAGAGATCTGCCGTATTAACTGTAGACAATCAGTTGGCTTTGTCCTATCTTGATTGTAGTGTACCTTGAGAAGGAACTATTATAAAGTAGAAGTGTTGAGACATTCCTTTTAATATAGCTTATTGTCTACTTTTCCAGTTTATGAATTAATCAAATTCCTAATTTTATTTTATGTAACCGTCATTGTTTTCACCAATTTACAGTTCCTTAGGTGTTAGAGAAAATGAATCCCTACCAAAAGGTAAATAAATTAGGAGATTAAGCCAGTGGTTGTGTGGGATATTTGGATTCTCTGTATTGCAGTTAGGAAGGTACTATCTATGGATTGATGCTGTTGAGAGGTTCATTCATCCCTGCATGGAATTGTGTTTTCACTTCGGCATATAGAAATAAGGGTGAATTGAAAATAAGGATAGCTTACTTTGAACTTATTGACCAATGGTTCTATAACATGCTTGCATTAATGCATTTGTTTGAAAGTAAATACCTGAAAATGAAGCTTCAGATGGCAATTTTCTGTTCATACAGGTGTAATGGAGAAATCAAGCACCATTTACTCAAATTCAGCAGAATCATTTCTTCCTGCAATTTGCAAAGAACTGATTGGTTCATCATTAGATTTTCTTGGGCAGAGTTATGATGAAGAAAAAACTATAGCAGATAGCCTGATGAACAATTTTCTCAAAATTTGTGATGCACTATTTGCCATTTCCAAAGCTCACGAAGAACAAGATGAAGAAAGTCAAGATAACTGTAAGCAATCCCACTGCTTTCGACTCACATGAATGATTATTTTCTGCGTGTTGCACTTTGTTTGGAATGATTATTTGGCACATCTGTCATACATCTTTTGACCATGTTAAAATGTTTAATGATGATCATATGTGAGTTGAGTTCTTTTATTTGGATATTATTTCTTCCAGTAATTTTCCTTCTTCTTTCAAAGTATTTTCTTCTGATCGAGCAACCCAGTCACTCAGTATCCAGATTGCATGTGCTTTCGAGCAGCTTGTGGTGCTAATCAAACATTGGCTGAATGATCTTCTACCTTGCACTCGCATAGCAAAACTTGAGGATGAACTGAGAGAAGAAGTTAAAAAACTGGGAGGCTACTTACAGTTATTTTTGCAGGTAAATTGATTTGCTTACTATCATTTGAAGAATTCATTCGTTCAATAGTTATTGACTTTGTACTGTCTGTATCTTCCCCAAAATTAGGTTTGTAGAGTTTTCAAAAGTGCTTTCTGTCTTAAAGTCATGTGGATGTCTATAATCGATTTATTGAATCAAGACATATGGCTTTCTATGTACCAGTGGTTCCAAGTGATTTACAAATATTAACTCATTTAATCCTCATAACAACCCCAGAAGTGGGTACCGTTGTTATCGCCATGTTATAGATGAGGAAGTGGAGGCACAGGGAAGATAAGTGCCCCGTCCAATGTTACATAACCAGTAAGTGATAGAGCTGGATTTGAACTCAGGCAGTCTTGGGCCCAGAGTTCATGCTCTGTCAGTATATCGTGCCGGTCCTCAATAAGGGGTAGTGGGAAGAGAGGCAGAGTCTTGCTCTGGTTGTAGCTTGGATTTCGGTCCATGCTGGGTTAGTCACAAGCCTGCTGACACAGAGACAAGGAAAGTAACTTTGTCTCCCTGCTTACCTTGTATCAGGTTAGACTAGGTTTGGCTGTGAGGAAGAAGTAGGATAGAAGCTTAGTTTCTCTCCCCTCAGATCTGGAGGTGGACGTGGTGGTTCTGTTCCACAAAGTCTCAGCATCCAGGTTCCTTCCAGGCCTCCCCTCTGCGTGCCCGAAGTGTGGCCCTTGAGTTCATGGTCCGCCGTAGTGGAAATCAGGGCAAGAGAAGTACTGTGAAGAGGGGGCTTCCCCCTTCCTTCTGGGAGTGTGTGTGCTCCCAGTGCAAGTGGGAAGCCTGTTCTTTTCCTTCTCCTCCGAGAAAAGAAAATACCCTTATTAACCGTCTATCAGATGGCTATTGGGACAGGAAAAGTTCAAAGGCAAAAGAGCTACTATTTTGTTCCTTTCTTTTGCCATTCACTTATCGATTCTATCTTATATCTAGTTAATTTCATACTTGCCTTATGTCTCCTATTTGTGTGGAAGATCTTTGAGGGTAGAGACCATATTTTATTCATTTTATCACCTTATTACTAGCTATAGGGCTGCATGTTTTCTGGTTCTCGTTGACACTTTTAGGAAGTGAGGTCATTGTATCAATGAATGCAGATTTTATTTTCTTTGCTTTTCTTCTCTTTCCTTTACCACCCCACATAATCTCATGTATGTGATACACTGGTCCATTTTTATCTTATAGGGATGCTGTTCAGATATTTCATCAATGGTAAAAGAAGCTCAAAAGAAAGTGATCCAAACTGTACAACAAGCTGTCAAGTATGTGGGACAATTAGCAGTTCTGAAAGGGAGCAAGCTACATTTTCTGGAAAACAGTGACAATAAAGCTGCCAGTGTCCAGGTAATTTGAAACTTATGTTTCAAAATGTTAGTTTTGAAAGACTTGATCTGAAGGAACATGAGACTTGTGATAATAGTACAGTATCACTAAACGTGACACTTTCTTTTTATTTTTCAAAAGAGCTTATACTTTTAATAGTTTGGCAATAAGATTTAAAACTGTTTCAGTCTAAGTTGGTTAAACGTACTGTCTGATTTTTCAAAACTTACTTTACCTTTTGGATCCTTGATTTCATGATAGCCATCTATTATGGAGGTTTTTCTCAGCCAATCAACACATGAAAAACTCTGTAATTCTAGAAAATTTGTATTTGCTTCCTTTATTTATGCTATTGAAAATGTAGTATTGTATTGGAATGTTACTGTGCTCTAGCAATATAGTATCCTGCCTAAGCTGATAAATATTCTTTATGTTATATTTGGAATACTAAACTACGGATTTGCTAATTTTATTTCCTTGTAGACTTTAGACTTCTTATTCCAACTTTAGCTGAACTTGATAAACTCAGAATGTATTATAGTCCTAAAACGAGCAGACAATATAACTTAATTACTTGATAATTTAAAAGAATGTTTAAAACCTGAATTTATCAGTTAATGCTTAAATCCTTTTTCAAGGAGGAATTCACGGATGCTGTTTGTGATGGCGTAGGCTTAGGCATGAAGATCCTTTTAGATTCTGGACTGGAAAAAGCAAAAGAACTTCAGCGTGAACTCTTAAGGCAAAGTACACAAAATGAGGTAAGAATAAAAGAATATTCTATATAGTACCAGACAGTAAGTATATAAAGCTGATTTTTAAAAATATTTTAACTCAATTAGATTTTTATAAATTTATATATTTTTAATTTGTTTTGAATTATTTTTCACTGAAGAAGCTGATGATACCATGATGTTATGGTGATATTTTCCTGAGTTATTCTTGAGTTTTTACAGCCTCTGTTGTTAATATTTTGCTAGATCCATCACGGCTGTTTTCAAGGAGACTCAGTCTATAGACGACTCCTAAGCAGAGAGCGGAGTGTGGTAGCGACACCTAGTGTTCACTCTCTGGCTGTCTTTTTCTAACTTAGCTTTGTTTAGGTCTCTCCTCTTCTTGAGAATGGAAACTGACATTTATTGATCCAATAGCTTAAACTAAGTATTTTTCCAGGGAGATTCACATCAAGAATTTCAATCAGCGAAGATTTCAATAACTTCCAAAAATATGCTTCCTCCCTCCTCCGGCTAACTGACGTTAAAGCCTGGACTCGGTGCTGTCTTAGGTGTGGTGTGTTAGGAAAGGTCTGGGTTCTGATGTTAGGAGACCTGTGTTGGAATCCTGGCTCTATCACTTTCCGCTTATCATTTAGCAAGTCACCGAATGCTCTGACCCAGTTTCTTTACCTGTCACATGTCATAGTCCTTCATCACAGATCGTAAAGTATTTATTGACATTTTCTGTGACAGTTACTGGGCTAGGCGCCTTACATATACCAGTGGTGAACCTCACAGCTTTTCAACACAGGAACTACCCAGCGGCTCAGTGAGTCGCAGTACCTTGACCAGTCACTCAACTGTACAGCCTTAGCCAGGATTTTGTATTCTGTCTGACTCTAAAACTCATCATGCCACATAAATAAGTTTTATGAATCATTGTTCATGCATTAATTTTCTTTATTGAGAGTGACTGTTAGTGAAGTAGGGGTTAGGAAGATAAAAGCTCAAATCTTATGAGACTGAACTTCCGAGACTTGTCTGTTCCAGAATCTTGCTGTAACAACTTGTTAAAACCGTCCCTGTCCGTTCCATGTCTCTTGCTGGAGTCAGGTGGCTGGGGCAGAGCTACCTGGAGACATTTAGCTTCCTGAGATCTTACCTACTAGGATATCATCTCATTCCCATACCCATTGGTTGCTCTAGAAAAGTAGACATATGGAGGACCGTTAGCTTCTATACGTACCTCTGGGTGGTGGTTTCCAGGGAGGCATGGAGTAAGCTAGACTTTTTTTTTCCTTTTTAGAAAAACCTTAGCAGGAATGTACTTGTAGCTCATCTTAGCTGGGGAGAAACTATGGAAACCACACGGGTTCTCCATCCCTTTCCTCGTACTATGGCTCTGTGTAGATTTGTCTCTGCCGACAAACTCTGCTCAGAGCTGGGGAAAGACACTGAACGTGAAGCTGCTCTCCTACTTCCCGTGTAACCTTGAACGACTTGCCTAAGCCTCAGTTGTTCCATTTAAAAAATGGGGATGATCATATTTATTTCATAAAATTGTTCTGAGGACTATATGTGACGAAGATACAACATATATGAAAATGCTAAAAATAGTGCCTGGCAAATCTGAAGTCACTCATCTTGCTTGCACATGTTCTCTCGTTTCTTCTGTGTGTGTCTGCTTCTCTCACTTTGTGTGTGTTTGTTTTAAAAGACAAAAACACATTCAAAAGGAGCTCCGAATGTCACTAAATCAAGGTTTTGGGGTCTAATCATGTTCCAGTAGGCCTGAGGCTGATTTTGGTTCTATAACGAACTTTGAAGAAAGGGCCGTGTTGGGCTGTCAGAGCTCGTTCAGACCGCCGCTGGCATCTCCAGCTTGGCTTTGCCCAGCGGCAGCACCGTTTATCACTGATCACGGTTTGCAAAGTTCTTATCGTCTATCACTATTGCGAAGAATTTCTGCTGGCAATAAGTGCAAAAGGGTATGGTGTAAATTAATGAAAAGTGGAGATGAAATAATGTGTGTGAATTTGCTTGGTAAGCTGTCAAAGAAGGTGCAGATGTTAGCTTTGGTACCGCTCTGAGGAAATAAACAGCAAAAGGGTCAGGCCCATCTTGTATACAGTTTCTACTATCTGCATCTTGTTGCAGACCTATCCCCTCCTTCCTTTCGTTTTCTTTCTACAGTATGCCAAAGCCGTGCTTTGTTAGTCATGGTTATTCAAGTTTTAGCTTATCACATTCTTGTAAGTTCAAACTCCTGTAAGAACCTAGAGAAGAAAAATAAAATATCCAAAGAAAGAGAAAATAGGCTCAAACCTAAGGCATTGGAGGAGTCCAATTTTAAAGCTAGAGTCAGAGGGAAAAAGAGAATTTGAAGGTTCCTTTTTTACCACACGGCTAATTTGAGTTAGACCTAGGGCAAGAGCTTCATGAGTAAAGCCAATTAAAGCCTTAACAACAAAATCTCCTGGCAAAAATTAAGCCAGAAAGCACCTTAGGGGGCAGCATTGAACAGTATATAAGCAAAGGTTTAGGATTAAGACTGAGGCTTCTACCCTGGGTCTGAATCTTAGGACCTAGAATCTGTTTTCTTATTTGCAAAATGAGAAAATAATTGAGAATCAAATAATAAAACATTTGTAAAGTTCTTAGTGCACAATAGTTGCTTGATACGTTACCCCCTTCCAAGGGAAATTTTGAAAATTTTATACCTAT